ACCTCACTGAAGCCAGTCACACTGTAGAGGAGGAGGTCCTAACATATCAGTTAAGTTCACAGTACCTCCGCCATGAAAAATGGCATTAGTACATTAATTATCATCAGAAATTAATAGACTTTGAAACTAAAGGAATCAGGGGATGTGACCATCCAAGTCATTTCCTAGCAAGAAAGCAAGCCCCAAGGCTTTCTTTGGAAATAGACTCCCCCGCCCCCCAAGACAGGGTTTCTCTGTGCAGCCCTGGCTGTCCTGGAACTCACCCTGTAAATCAGGCTGGCCTCGAAATCACAGAGATCCACCTGCCTCTGCCTCACAAGTGCTGGGATTAAAGGCATGTGCTACCAACGTCTAGCTTGGAAATAGACTTTTTAAAAATAGTTGAGCACGATGTGGCCAACTCTTTGACAAAGTAAGCACATTGTGATCAAAAGCCAGATTTTCACACGCAGTTTTCTCAGCCAAATTTGAGCAAAGGCTATTTTAATATTTTATCTTTTTCATGTTAATCAAAACTACACCCAGTTGCAGACACAATGAATCTAAATCTCTTAGCCAGTGTGTGGTTTGAGACATTCTTTGAGACTTGGGTCTGAACACTGTTTCATTAAGTTCTTGCTGCCCCCCTGTTCAGCCAGGCTAGTCTAACCTCAGTCTTAGTTAGGCATGTCCTAACCGGGAGGGCCAAGGCCCATCTCCTGGTGTTGAGTCAGCTACAGCATCTCACCCAGGAAAACTGTTGAGCAACTAGAGACTTCCCAGTTCTGCTGGCATAGCTGATGAAAGCCTCCTGCGACTTCGTGTCAGCTTTCAAGAAACATGAGGAGAACAACTGTTTTGGTTTTTCTTAGCATCTGTAACCAGTTTCCTAAAAGAAGAAAAAGATGTCTTTATGACGTCAAATCTCTTTAAGGACATAGGGTTCCTGTTATGGAGCCTGAATTCAGTTCATTTAGCCTTTCTTATTCCCAGATTCCTGGGGCGCCTCCCTGGAAAGAGAATCTATAGAGCTGTAGAGCTTGCTGCTTGTCATGTGACTGTTTGTGAATGGGACTCATTACACCCAAAGTGACTCAAAAAGCGTGACCTGTGCCTCACACTCTGGTGATTAAACCCCCCATCCTGCTTTGTAAGTTGTTCTTGTGACAGCGTTTCCCAAATCAAGGGGCCAGTTTTCCATTTTATCATCATGTCTGAATCACTTCTTTAAAAAACAGTTTTATTTTAGAAAGATGTTCCAAGTCATGAATGCAGCGAATTAGACAGCATGTTTCTGGCTTGGGTCCATTTGCGCCCCTGGAAACTTGATGCATGCAAACCTTATGCCTGAGACTGAGAATTGTCCTTCATTTGTCTTGGTGATCAGAGTGTGAAGTACTTTGCAGAGAAAGGATGGAAGGGAAAGGCCTACCCCTGGCCTGAAGGAAGTAGTCAGGTTGGCCTCCTAGCTCTTTGAGTACTGCCTTGAGATCTTGCAGGGCTGACCGCTCCCCCTTGCCTCTCCGCTCTTCTGCTAAGGACAGCAGTTGTGGTCTCTGTGGTCATGAAGATGAGTAGTTCTCTGTACTGAGAAACCGGGGTTTTCCTCTCTCACAAACTTGCCTCTGCTGGAGGGCCTGGTGCGTGTGGGAGATACATACATGCTGCTCACCAAGTGTAGGAAGGGCAGCCTGCATGCTGCTCGCCAAGTGTAGGAAGGGCAGCCTGTATGACGAGGCCCCCCACAGGGTGCAGGGTTCCATCTCAGCACACTGCAGAGGAGCGCTTGCCGAAGCAACATGGAGAAACAGCGTGTGGATCACCTGCAGAGTCATTTCTGGAAATAGATGGCAGAATGTCTAGGACAGAAAATGGGAATAGAAGGTTCAAGGCTGAGTAAGCTTCTGCCTTTTTAAAAAATATTTGAAATAATAATATTACATTTCGCCCTTCCTTTTCCCCCTCCAAAACTTCCCATATTCATCTCCCAGCTCTCCTTCAAATTCATGACCTCTTTTTCTCGCTAGTTGTTATGCATGATATTTGTGTATGTGTTTGTGTGTCTGTTGTATTATACACATACATACATACATACATACACTAAATATAACCTGTTCAGTCCATGTAATGTTACTTACAATGTATGTTTTAGGGGTTGACCATTTGGAATTGAACAACCAATTGATGTGTCCGTCCCTGGGGAAGGTCGTCTCCCCAGTTCCCAGGTTTCCTTGTGTATAGTTCTTTGTGCAGGATTGAGCCTGGGGTCATCTCCCATTCATTTGGCATGCATATCGTTGTTCTTGTTCCACCCATGTGTCAGCAGTTATGTTGGTGAGACTTGATGGTGTATCTCCTGACGTCACTTGGAGACACAATCTGCCAGCAAATTCCCTGACCCTCTGGTTCTTACACTCTCCCTACCCCTTCTTCTGCAATATTCCCTAAGCCTTAGGCTTAGAATTGTTTTGGAGATGTAGCCATTGGGACTGGGCTCCACAACTCTGTGGTTGGCTTAGTTGTGGTTTTCTGTAGTGGTTGCTGTTGCAAAGAGAAGTCTCCCTAGCCAGTGGTGAAGACTACACTTAGCTGTAGGTATAAGGACAAGTGTTTATGGGTTGTTGTTAGGTGCTACTCTGTTTAGTAAGCTGGTGTTTGAAGAGTCTCCTCCCATGGCTGTGACATCACTCGCACTGAGTAGTTAGGTTTCCAGGACAGGTATCTGAAAGGTTCACTGCAGACACAGGACATGCTCAAAGAGAGAAAAGTAAGGAAGAGTTCTCCAGCAAAGGTGTTGTTTGTCTTGGAGAGCGACAGTTTTGAAGCACTGCCATCAAATCCTATCTCCCAAAGTTTAAGTCACCAGTGAGCTATAGAACATAGATGTCAAGCCTGGCCTCTGCATAATTAGACAGTCATTCTTTTGAATCTAGCCCAAGTGCCCCTTCCAGCTAGCTCAGATGAAAGAAGAGATTGGCTACTGTAGCAAATATGAACCATTCAGTATTGTATTCTTGCCGGTATTAACTCCATGCCAACTCCAAACCTCTATTTTCTATCTAGTTTCTAGTCACAGAGTGTGTTTTTAATGAAAGCGCAGCTCTTACTTTATGGGAATAAATGTGTACCAGTCCCCCCCCCAATTTATAGTTTGCAGATTCCCTTGGGGTGCACTTTCTGACTTTGTTCTTGGTATCCCCTTTCTGGGCTGGAGAATTAAAAATCCACTTTCTGGTGGCCAATAATATGCTGTAGACTTAAAATGTTAAACCTTTTCTATATTTAACTTATGCCTCCTTCCATTTTAAATTTCTTGATTAGCTATAGTTTATCTCCATAAAGTCATAGGACTTTAATATATGTGATTTATGTACACAATGTCCTAAGGAGTTCTGGTAATAAGACTTTAACATATGTGATTTATGTACACAATGTCCTAAGGAGTTCTGTTATCTTGTTAGCCACAGCTGACTCCTCAGCTCCAGCTACCAGAACCACAGAGTCTAAATTCAAAATAACAAATGGCGCCAATAGAGTCTTTAAACTTCTCTCCGAAACTTCACAAGTGAGGCCTTCATCTTCCACATTGCCTTCAACACTCCCCTCTTCCACACTCCCACAGAACAACTCAGGAAGCATTGAACACTCACCGTCTTCTCTTGCCCAAAGCCTAAGTCCATCCAAAGTCCCCACCATCTCCGCCCCCAACAACATGGTCTGTCACAGCAATACCCCACAATCCTCTTACCAATTTCTGTCCTAGTTAGGGTTAAGATTGCTGTGATAAAAATGCCGTGATCAAAACAACTTGGGGAGGAAAGGGTTTATTTCATCTTGTACTCCCGGGTGACAGTCCATCACTGAAGTCAAGGCAAGAACTCAAGCAAGGCATGATCCTGGAGGCAGGAGCTGATGCAAAGGCCATGGAGGGGTGCTGTGTACTGGCTGCTTTCTTGCAGAACCAGGACCACCATCCCAGGAGTAACATCACCCACAATGAATTAGGCCCTCCCCCATCAATCGCTAACTAAGAAAACGCCCTACATCTGGATCTCATGGAGGCATTTTCTCAATTTAGGTTCCCTCCTTTCCAGTAACTCCAGCTTGTGTCAAGTTGACATAGAGCTACCCAGCACATACAATGTCCTCTTTTAGTACTAGCAAATATGCACTATGACACTTTGAACTTAAAAGGTATGTTTAATAAATGTTACTTATTTTGCCATGTCATCCTTGGAAAGTTTCCTAGTATTAATATATTTCAAACTGTACCAATATGGCCTCCTATTAGATCTCCAGCAAATATCAGAAATCTGCCTTTCTGCATTACATGGAAAGACCGCAATGATGTATTTCTAATTACTTATTGGAAAATCACTATAAATGGGTATAATATAAATACAGAATATAAGTGAATCTATTCCATAAGTACAGTGGTTCTCAACTGGGGGTCATGACCCTTCTGGGAGTTGTATACCAGATATCCTGCATATCAGATGGTTACATTATGATTCATAACAGTAACAAGATTACAGTTATGAAGTAGCAACAAAATAATCTTGGGTTGGGGGTCAGCACAACATGAGGAACTGTGTTAAAGAGGGGTAGTCTTAGGAAGGTTGAGAACCTCTGTCTTAATGCCTCAATACCTCTAGCTTAATTTTGACTCACTCAACTGATCAATGCCCAGGCTTGCTGCACACCTGCCCCATCAAGACAGTATACAGAAAAACATTTCTGGCTGCTAGGAAAAGGGTTTTTACTGAAAATAAATATGCTGTCTGCCTCTTCATCCTTCACCATTGCCATGGCTAATAGTTGTCACTCTGGTTGCCATTTCAATCGTTTTCAGGAAGTTTTAGACTTCTGAGCATGCTTCTAAAGGCAGTTTTCTCAGCATCCCATCTTTGTTGAGCATGTGTGTCTTTGTAAATGTAAGCAAAAGGAAGTAACCGTGAAACCTATGTGATGCAGTGCATACGTGTGACATTTCACACAGTTTTGTTTTGATTTTTCTACAGGCTGAGATACTGAGCGTCCTCAGCCACAGGAACATCATCCAGTTTTATGGGGTGATTCTGGAACCCCCCAACTATGGTATCGTCACAGGTAGGAACTCACTGTCCATCTGTCTGTCTCCTTCCCAGTTGCCTGGCTTCTGGTGCCTACATATATGAAAATGCTTCCTATCAGGTTCTGCTCTGAATTGTGAGCTACTGTCAGATGTCACTTTTGTTGCCATAAAGCATTAATAAAACTGATTATATCAATATAATTAGGAATGGTGTTTGTACCTCTACCCATGTCTAATTGTGCTAATTACACCTGTGTAGATGCTGTTTAAATGCACCTGCAGCTGCAATGCCAATATGTAAGGTGCCGTTTAACTAAAATTTCATTTAATTAGTTGAAGTGAGAGATGTTTTTTTGTAACTCTGTGACCTTTTATAAATTAAGATTTCTTGAGCTGTTCATGTTGTAATTCTTGCAATGCATTCTAATCCCATTAGAGCTCTTTATTCAGAGCTCTGGTGTGAAGGCCATATTTTTCAGGTTTGGTCATTTGCACTAATGACGACCTTGAGCTAAATTATCATGTAGTTGTGAGCAGGAATTTTTAGCTGGTGGAAATACTCTTTCTGAAAATGAACACATGGAAAATTTTGCCACAAGAAACTACAAAAGACATACTTCGAAACATTTTACACTTACCGTTGTTCGTCCTAGTGAGCAGTGTTAGACCTCAGTAAATAACTTTGATCAGGTCCTTTATCGTGGCACCCCTTTGACTCAAATGAAAACGAAGGAAGAAAACCTTAAGAGATTCATCCTGTTTTCTTGCACTATAATGACAAGGACTTTGATGGTCTTTAGAGAAAAACAACAAAACACTCATACTAGAAAGAACGGGGCTAGGTGCTTTCTTATAAATTTCTTATAGAAACCCTGCAAACTGAACAAAATAATTCTCTTATAAGGAACTGGAACTCTTAAGTACCTTTGCCACATGTCACCCAGCTGGCAGTAGACCCAGAGTGGCACAAATCCCTCACGTAACTTTTTTCCAGGAGCTCCTCCTGCCTGCAAGCCAGGTTCTGGAAGGCTTACTGCTTCTTCACGGGGACAGGTTGCTGTTATGTCTGCCCTCTGGTAGTTTGATATGCTCTACTCTCAAATAGCATCTTTTTCATCCTTGTTAGTCAGAGAGATTTATATCCCCAGTTTGCAATCTTTCGTCTACACTGAAATGAGTGCTTGGCAGTGGTTATCTTGAACCTGTGAGTCCTATAATTTGTAAACCCCAGGAGAGGTTCTGCTGTTATGGGTAAACCTTTGGTGTCAGGTTTCTCATTCAAATTTAAGATTTCTTCTGACTCAGTTGCCATACAGCCCCCTCTCCCAAGTGCATCCCATTAAATTTTTACTAGATATGTTCTCTATATGGATCTGAATCCAGTTTTCTGATCCTGGTATGTAGCTAATATTTGTACCTAGCATATATTATTCCTGTCCACTAATAGATTAGAAGTAGTGGTCTCTCTTATTCCCATGAAGTGTAATGCTTGGAGAAGATTTTACTGAGCTAATTCAATGGGCTTAGTGAAGATTTCTATCACTGGGATAAACACCCTGACCAAAAGCGACTTAGGGAGGGAAGGACTACCTTGATTATCACAGTCTGCCATCTTAGAAGTCCGGGCAGGAACTCAAGGTAGGAGCACGGAGGCAGGAACTGAAGCGGAGGCCATGGACAAGTGCCGTTTGCTGGTTTGTTCCTCGTGGCTTGCTCAGTTTGCCTTCTCACACATCCCACAACAACCTGCCCAGAGGTCGCACTGTCCCTCTGTGGGCTGAGCCTGCCCACATCAGTCACTAAGAAAACACCCTACACACACATGATCTCATCTGAGATTCCTCTTCCCAAATAACTCTAGGTCGTGACAGCAGATTAATGGGCATGGGGATATTCAGGAGGTTCTTCAGTTTCCTGAGGTGAGGACGAAGAGAAGAGATGTGAATCCCTTCCCCAGACTTTACCATCAATGTCAAAGAAAGTGGGAAGTGTGTTTAGTCAGCACACCAGCCCCAGCCATTGCAACAGAAAGAATACAAATAAACCCTTATCTGACTAGCCAGGCTTTATTCTGTGTCTCTCCTCAGCACTTGCTCTTCCTACCTACCCAAATTCCTTGGTAAATTCTTTCAAACACATTGTTCCCTTATGCCTTTGAAAGACATTAAGTACTTCTTTAAAATAAATTTCAGATTTATGCATAATAGCAAATCATGTATTTCTAGGTTGATTATGAAAGACCACTTAGTCAGTTTTGTTGTTTGAATGGGTATCACTTTAATATGGTTGTCGTTATGTCTAGACAGCCAACCTTCAACAGTATTAGGATAAAACCTACTCAGTGTATGGGTAGCAGTACATGTGCCAACCATGCCATGTTGGAGGCTAAATCATCAGTTCGGTGAACCTCCGCCATCTGTTTCAGATGTTGGAGACTCCGAGGGAAGAAGTTTGAATGGCTTACTTTCATTCATCTTGAGATTTTTGTTAACTGGAAAGGTTGTTAGTACAGGTGACTGTTGTCACTCATATTTGAAGGAATGGTTTATCAGAGGGATAGAGTGGAGTAGACAAGTGCTGGAATGAAAGTTGGAAGATGTGTGGTCTTGTCCCAACTCTACCAAAGCTTCATAGAGAGTTCACTGAGAATCCCTCTGCGTCGCCATTGCCTTGTGTGAAGGAAGGGACTGGAAGAGATGTTTTCTGGGAGAGTGTACACGTGTGTGTGTGCCCACTTATGCGTGTATATTTGTGGGAAGTTTTCATCACAGACTTACAGAACGGCTTATGAGGGGGTGTAGGAAATTACCTAAGAGACAGCTGTCAATTTCTTTCCTTTGGAGGAGAAATGAACATCTCATCCCCCAGATCTGTAAAGCAGTGGAGTAACTAGAAGCTCAGACTCCAAGGTCAAAAGAAAACATTCCACAATGGTTTTCTTGGTCCTTGGAAATCTCTTAATACTCTAACATGTGTAAATCCCTGTGACCGACCGGAACATAGAGTGATTAGATACTAGACCACATGGCTCTCTTGTAGCAAGTCATATCAGAGGAAGGTCGTATTGAAGGGTATCAGACTTGGTCCCAATGTTCCAGAGGAAAAATACTTTAGGATCCCAGAAGTGTTGATAATTGCATCTTTGGGCTCAGTTGGCTGATTGCACCTCCTGTTTATTATGTGTCTGTATTACTTCATTTCATTGCATCAAGAAAATATACTAGTTCTGCATGGCTTGTCAACAGGCCCAACTGAATCCTCATTCAATTCAACCACAGAACACATTAATTATAAATATCCAAATTAATTTCCTTTAGCTTGATCCTGATTTACTTTAATCACGGACACATCTAATTTACATGTTCTGTTATTGGCTGGTTCTTTTTATTAGCCAATTAAGGACAAGTGTCACATTTTATAACAGACTGCAGACATTCACCCATATTGATTTGTTCTGCTGGCCATAATCTAAAGTAAGGTTTGTCTTGATGATACTTTATTATAGAGAAGTTTCATGATAATATTTGTTGCAACAGTAGTACACTGTGCTCTCCATATACAAAGGCTCCCTATTCATGGATTTAACTAGCTAAGGAGAAAAAGAAAGAGACTAAAATGGAAGTGGGGTTGGTGATGGAAAGCAATATGCTATAACCACTATTTGCTTAGCATCTACATAGTATTTGCTAGTGTGAGTGGTATAGGACCGATCTAAGTACAGATGTTCCTCTACCTACAGTTGGCTTAAGTCTTAGTAAACCTACCATTAATTGCCAGTATCCAAGATGAAAGTGGATTTAGTGCACTTAACCTATAAAACATCATAACCCAGCAGCAGGGGAACACTGTAGAATATGAGAGGTTCTCTTTGTGACCCTTTTGACTGATTAGAGACCACGGCTTGCTCTGCTGTTGTTCAGTATAGCAAGATAGTATGAAACTGCCATATTGCACATGACTAGCAAGAAGAGATCATAATTCAACCTATGTTTTTTACAGAATGTACATTATTTTCACACTGAAATATTAAAATATTTCAGTTTAAAAAACACATTTGATATGGGCAGTGGTGGCACACTCAATGGGTAGAGACAATCAGATTTCTGTGAGTTCAAGGCCAGCCTGCTCTATGTAGTGAAATAACAGGACAGCCATAATTACACAGAGAAACCCTGTCTTAAAAAGCCAATAATGAAGCAAACAAATAAAACAAAACAAAACACATTTGTTTACATTGTATGTGCTACATGCATATGCAAACACTGTTATTTTATAGAAGAGACCTGAGATCTAGAAATTTTAGTAATCCCCTGAGGATTCTAAGGGAGGACTATACATATTTGCATTTTCAGAGACGGCTATCATACTACAAAACTCAAAAGAAAAAAAAACACCTTGAAAATCAAAGGACATATTTGTTTAATGTGTTAATAACTTGAAACTTTTTAAAAAGTTATGTGCATGTGTTTTGCCTACATGAGGGTGTTGGGTGCTCTGGATTTGGAGTTGCAGACAGTTGAGAGCTGCCATGCGGGCGCTGGGAATTGAACCGGGTCCTCTGGAAGAGCAGCCAGTGTTCTTAACTGCTGAGTCATCCCTGTGTTAGTAAGTTTTTTAAAAGTAGTAAAACAAAGCTTTCTGTGCCAGTATCACTCCCGTGAACATGGTAAACATTCCTAAGACCCGCTGGACATTGTACAAAAGAAAAAGAAAAGAAATGTGGCAAGCATAAATCCAACAGACACAGGACAAGAAGAGCAAGGATTCTTGGTCTGCCCAGGGAAAGTGGCTATGGTGGGCAAACTAAGCCTACTTTCCGCAAAAAGGCTAAAAGTACAAAGAAGAGTTCACTGAGACTGGAGTGTGCTGAGCCCACCTGCAGATCTGAGAGGATGCTGGCTAGTAAGAGATGTGAGTATTTTGAACTGGGAGGCCATAAGAAGAGAAAGACAAGTGATCCAGTTCTAAGCTGACTTTGTTATGAAGACAATAAAATCATGAGCCTTACTCACCAAGGAAGGAAGAAAGGAAGGAAGGAAGGAAGGAAGGAAGGAAGGAAGGATCAAAGCACATAATTTACACTGAAGCTCAATATGCTACCTGCTAGGGAAACATAACAGGCATAGAACCATATGGATTTATGGTGAGTCTTAAGTTCCCAATGAAACACCCAAAAAGGAAGACGAGTTCACTCCCATGGTGGAGTAGTTAAGATGTTGGTTTACTAGCCACATATTTAAAGCTCTCTAATGTGAACTATAAAAGAGCTCACATCCCAACATGGTCAAAGACATGATTAACCCAAGCGAAAATTTTGGATGCAAGTAAGAGGAAAATTGCTTACATATAAAAGGCAATATGATCAATGGTGACTTTTCATGTTCAATAATGGAGACCAGATGTCAATAAAATGATATGTACCTACTCAAAGGACTGTATCAAGCAAAATAAAATTTCTTTTAATGGTAAAATAACTATAAAGATATTCTTGGACAGAGAATGAATGATTTTATAGCAGGTAGATATGCTGTATAAGAAATGTTGAGCTTAGGGGACAGTTTAAAACACATAGTTAGCAAGGCCTTCAGTGTGAGCCTTAGTATGAAAACAACACATGAAAACAGTAGTAAAGGAAGCCCTTTGGGCTGAAAGAAGACACTAGATAAAAAAAATCTAAGGAAAGAATTCATGGTAAGAGAAATGGCAAAAATATGACTATATAAGAGACTCTTCAAATACATTTTCTTTTCTCTTTCATAACATGTTTAAAAACAGAATTTTATAGAGAAATAAATGTTTTATTGAAGTAAAAACATAAATTTAATATATTATAACAATAGTATAAAAGATCATGGAGAAATAGTCATAATGGAGAAAAGAGTATAAAATATTTTATATTTTAGATTAGTATTAATCTGAAATTATTGTGCTATAAAATGTTTTATCATTCCTTGAGTCACCACAAAAAATTCACTAAAAAAATTAAAAACACATTGATCAGGAGGTGGCTAGAGTCTATAACCTGAGTGCACAGGAAAGCTGAGGCACAGGACTGAATTTGAGACCAGCTCGAACTGTAAGGGATACCCCATTTAAAAAAAATCAAAGAGGTGAAGAGATGGTTCAGCAGTTAAGAGCCCAGTTGGTGGTGCATGCCTTTAATCCCAGCACTCAGAAGAATAGGCAGGCAAATCTCTATGAATATGAGGCCAGCCTGCTCTATGTAGTGATCTTCAGGCCAGCCACAGATACATAATGAGAACCTGTTTTAACATGCATACTGCTCTTGCAGAGGATTTAAGTTCAGTTCCTAGTAGCCATGTTGGGTGGCTCATAACTGCCTGTAACTCCAGCTCCAGGGTTGTATGTAACACCTCTGGCCTCTTCACAAATACATATCCACACATAGACACACACACACACACACAATTTTGAAAATAAATCTGTAAAACAACCAAGGTATTAAAATGGCATATTAGGGTACAGTAAATAAGGAACATTTGACTGAGGACAGGCGACATAAAAAAAACAAGATGGCATTAATTACATTAAATATGAGTGGTCTTAATATTCCAATCAAAAGGCAGAGACGTTTTAGATGGGATAGCAAAGCAAGGTTGAAGTATATACACTGTCCACAATACACATATCAAAGACACAGACTGAAAATGAGAAGAAAGAGACGGATGTTTTATGCTAATAATACCCATTAGAAACTGGGGTATCTATACTAACTTCACACAAAGATAGACTTCATATAATACTAGAAACAAATGAAGTCATTTTACAATGAGATCTGTAATAATTGTAGCAATTCGAAAATAGTTTCACTCTTCCTTTCAATAGTTGGTAAAATAATTAAACAGAATTGGCAGAGGTATAAAGAAGCTGAAGAGCATTCTCAGTCAACCATCTCTAACTCACATCTGCATGGCACACTGTCTGACAAGGGGCACTCTTCAGAATACTGTGTAAATGAGGTTATTAAATAATATCCAGTATATCAGAAATCATTAATACTCTTCAATGCATTTTCTCTAACCACAGTTGAATCATATTAAAAATGGGCAACCAAAGGACATGGTAAAAAAAATTAAATATTTGAAAGTAAAATAGCATGCTTCCAAATGCCTACAAGACCTCCCGTCCAAAGAAATCACAATGAATTCTTAAAGATTTGAACTAGAAGAAAATTAAATGGAAACATGCTGGAACTATCGAATGTAGCTCTGAGCAGGGAGAGTGTAATCTCCACCAGCTGTACAGCAAGAGAAACAGGTTTGATCTTGGTAACATCAACATCTTCATTCTGAAGGAACACCAGAAAGAAAAATCAAGGAGGACCAAAGTAAGACACAGAAAAGGAAATGTGAGATGTTAGAACAGGTGCAATAAAATGGAAGATTAAAATAGCAGAGAAAAAAATCAACAAAAGGCTTGGTCTTGAAACACTTCATAAAACTGATGAATCTTTCACTGAATTGACTAAGAAAAGAGAGACATTGGTAAAGCCAGGGGTAGAGAGGAGAGAAAGCTGTGATCCCTAAGGGAGCTCCAAAAGATCGTGAGTGACATGAGCAATGACATTAGCACATGACGGTGCTAATAAATGAGGCTACTTGTATGCAGTCAGCGTCTTCTAAAATGATCTAGCTGACTCAAGAGCTAGATCTCTGAAATGATGTCAGCTCTTGGAGGTGCAAGCAGAAATATCAGTTCAAGGCAAGCTTTTGCTACATCTACCTGAGACCCTGTCTCAAATAAACAAAATAAAACAACAATAAAACTGACTCAAGGAAAAAAATCTAACTCTATGTATAAGAAAAACTTAATTAGTAGTTTAAAATATTTCCACAGAGAAAAGATGATTATTTTTGCTAGTGAATTCTATTAGATATTTATAGAAGAAATAATATCAACCTTTCTTTCCCGTACTCCCTCTGAAGACAGAGATCAGTAGTCTACAAGGCCAGTATTATTCCTCCACCAAAGCAGCCACACAAAGACTTGATCAGGAAACACAGATTAATTTCTCTCACACATGTGATACAAAACTTCATACCCATATTAGCATGAAGAATCCTGCCATGTATTAAAACAGTATATTCCACCACAGGGCTGCATAAGCAAGACCTAAGTAATTCCAACAACAGTAGATATCCCAAGGTAGATGGGTGAAATCTCACTGACCACACCCCCCAGATGAAGAGCTACAAGCAATTAACAACTGTTGAGGGAGGGAGAATTAGTTTTCCCCGGGGATGAGCCCTGGATTGGTTAGCTAGTACAGAATGTTCAGCTCTAGAAACATATCCATGCAGCAGCACTGAGGAGACTCAGTGGGTTGTGTATATATGTTTATTCCTGCATATACATATATGTGTATATGTATATGTATATATAATAGTTATATATATGTGTATGTATATATATATATATATATATATATATATAGTAGTTAAAGAAGAGGGAACTATGAATTTGGGAGAAAGGCCAGACATGAGAGGGGTAGAAGGGAGGTGAGAGAGGAAGAAATGATGTCATTTTACCTTAATTTAATTTAAAAAATAACAATAGTAAAAGATTGTACTCCACGACCAATGGAATATTTTCCAGGAATGCAAAGTATTGGCTTAACATTTGAAATCAGTTAATATAAGGTACAGTAACAGGTAATAGAATAAGAGACAAAAACTTAAAATGTGGGCATTTCAACAGACACAAAAGAAGCATTTGATTGTTATTTTGGTTCTTTTCAGTGGTGGTAGGGATTGAACCTAGGGCCTCAGGTATGCTAGGGAAGTGCCCTATCACTGAGCTACATTCTGAGTCCTCAGAGAAAACACTTGAGAGATGATGACCTCTGTTTTCTCAATAAATAGCATCTATGGAAATCCACAACTAACATTGTATTCAATGCTTGAAAAGCTCTGTTTCATCTTGGGCACAAGATGAATTCTGTTGTTACCATGCTTATCCAGCATTGTGCTAAAGGTTTCATACAGTTTACCCAGACGAGAGAAAGTGATAAAAAGCATCAAGTTGGGAAAAAAATACTAAAACTGTCTTAGTCACTGTAATATTACTTTGAAGAGACACCATGACCAAGGGTACTCTTATGTAATCTTGATGTATTTTTTTCTCAATGAAAATGTAGAGTCCTGTTTAACTGTGTGTTTACTCTTTTACAACAGAATATGCTTCCCTGGGGTCCCTGTATGATTACATTAACAGCAACAGGAGTGAAGAGATGGACATGGATCACATCATGACCTGGGCCACCGATGTAGCCAAAGGTAACACTGCTTGCTATACACATACAGAGGCGGGTGGTGTCTTCCCACCCTCACCTGGGGTAGTATGTCAGAAAGCTTTTTGTTTTTGTTTCTTGAGACAGCGTTTCTCTGTATGTTTTGGAGCCAGCCTGTCGTGGAACTCGCTCTGTAGACCAGGCTGACCTCGAACTCACAGAGATCCGCCTGCCTCTGCCTCTCAAGTACTGGGATTAAAGGTGTGTGCCACCAACACCTGGCTGGTCAGAAAGCTTTTTATTCTATGTCTTTAGGCATTCTTTTTTAGATCAGACATAGTAAAATACAATTCAGCTCACTGACAGGTAATGTTTTTGGTCGTGGCCTTTCCATTCCTGAATTCCCTTTGTCCTTTTCTGTTTTCTTTCTTCATTTCTTTCCCTAAAATCAAGTTTTACAAAGTCAGTAAGCTTCAGGGCAGAGATTTCTGCTGTGTTTTGTAACATTGTAGTTGGCAAGCTCATTTGCCATATTAAGTGGGAAATCGTAGCTCTGTTGTCCTGAGAATCTCTCTGTGGGTCTCTAAAAGTGTGGCTTGTAGTAGGATTGGTCCTACTCGCTTGAATGCATAATAATGCACTAAAATAGTAACCACTGTCCTGCATGAAAAGTAGCCCCGATTTTATTTTAATATAGTGGAAGCTTGGCTTTCACCCTTGAAAATTAAATATTCTAATTATACAAAATCCCCAGCCAGCTTCCTGATTCTCCCCCTGCCCTAGAAATTCCTATGTAGACTAACGCTTTCTAAAGCAATTCAAGTTCTATTAATTTTTCTCATTTTTTGCACTTTCCTACCTGAGCAGTTCGGAGTCTTCATCATAACTGTTGGAACTGCCTTGGATTCGGCTTTAACTAAGAAATGGCTGTGGCCATCACATTTGTATTCTGGGATCCTCTAGATAGCTGGGTACTTAGCTCTCTGCATCTTGACATGTCTTTACAAAGCAAGCATACAGTGTTGTTCCATGTTCAGTAAGAGAAGCAGCTTATATTTTGTTTTCATGGCAAAGAAAAAGATACATAACAAGGTCACCAGGAGCCTGTTCTGTAGGGGAATTATCTCAAATGCCTTAAATTTCACCAGCTACCTGCCAAATTCCTCAAACAGAAAAAGTGAAAGAAAGCAAATTAACTAATTTACTAATACTGCCACTCACTACCTGTGAGTTAAATATAAGCAGCCCTATGCTTGAGTGAGATGCCTTACTTTTGAGCTGTGGTGATGAACTTACCCATGTATTCATGCATCTGACATATTAAACTTATCATAACATTCCATGTTCTTGAAGATGTTTTCATGTAATATCATAGTCACTTCTCTGCATGTCCATGGTACACAGGAGCACCTGTGAGTGTCCATAGGACACAAGGAGCACCTGTGAGTGTCCATAGGACACAAGGAGCACCTGTGAGTGTCCATAGGACACAAGAAGCACCTGTGAGTGTCCATAGGACACAAGGAGCACCTGTGAGTGTCCATAGGACACAAGGAGCACCATAGGACACAAGGAGCACCTGAGAGTAGGCAAGGTCGTGCTGATACTGGCCGTTGCCTGCAGCGTTGTGGAAATGCACCTACACAGATAGAAACACACAGTCCTATTGCACTTTACTGACCTTGTGTTTTGGGTGCTCAGATAATTGCACTCCTGTTATTCCTTAATGGATAGACAGCAAACAAATCAAGTGTCAGCTTCCAGCTGTGCTCTCTACCTTAGCATTCTTGGTTCCTAGCTGCAGCACCCACTTGACCCTCTGTCACATGGTCCTGTCTGAGGGCCAAACATCTTGGCTCCAGAATAACACTGTCATTCTCTCGAGTTTCTCAAGGGAGCTGCTTCTCCACTTCAGAAGAACAGGGAAGAGAAGGAACAGAATTAAGTAGCTCAATGGAAGCAGAGATGCAGGATAAGGAAGGTGGGAAGAGTCCAAGTCACAAGCTGTTGATTAGAGAATCAATCTAAAAGACAAATTCTCAGTGTTTGGCCTTAGAAATTGGGCCCATTTACTCATAATCCTAAGTGATATATATAACATGTGGGAATGATTTCAGATGGTCTGTGACAGGAAAAAGGAATCCATACTTTAAGATGGACTTCGACCCTCTCCCCTACAGCTACGTATAAACTTGAAATAGCAAAGCTTGACTCTGGTTGATTCTGTTTCAAATTCAGCCTGTGTGCCTTTTTGGCTTGACCATGAAGCCACAGAAGCACTAACGTGTTGAGACATCAGAGCATGAATAATTAATTCATCCTGAGAGGTGACTCATGCATTTGGAAACAGGCATTGCTCAACATCTTTGCTGTTGAGAGCTGCACTCAAAGCTGCAAGGACGCCCCCCCCCCCCCCCCACTTCTAGAAGGAAGAGGAGGGGGAGTGGGCGAACACGCACATCTGCAGCTGTGTACGAGGGACAGTTAGAGCAGGCTGGCTGAGTACAGCCTTGATCCAAAGTTCCCAAACCTCCTCCCTGGTACCTGTCAGATCTTACTAAGCATTCACAAATATGCCCAATGGTGGCTCACGCCTCTAATCCCAGCACTCGGGAGGCAGAGGCAGGAGGATCTCTGTGAATTCAAGGTCAGCCTTGTCTACAAAGTGAGTTCCAGGACAGTCAGAGATGTTACACAGAGAAACCCTGTCTCAAACCCTGCCCCCAAAAGAGAGAGACCTCGCAAATAGTTAAACCAGTTGAAAGTTGAAAGTATTTTTTCAGCCCTTTTCAATGGTTTACAATGAAAACAAAGCAGGTGACTCAAAAAAATTAAATTGAATTTTCTGATTACACTAAGTTTTCAAAGCTGGGTACTATGCACTGTGCACCAATAATTTATGGGACTTTTTTCTTCTGATAATCTGACACAGAGTAGAAAATGCCTATATTTTAAAATTTTATCGTCAAATCTTCCCTTTTGAAATTCTTGTCAGCAAGTATAAAAATCATCTGTTCATAGTCAAGTACATGAAAATTATTTGGAAATTTGATTTTAAAACAAGGAAGACATAACTATAGAATTCAGTCATAGACTATTAAGTATTGCACGAGTAGCAGCTATTGAACTTTACAGTTTGAATATGTAGAATTTGCTATTAAATGAGACCCTTTATCCCAGTTACATTAACTTGATTCTTTTCAGCGATATCATTATGTAACAAGAGTTAAAACTTTTTTCTTTGTTCTTTTGATGCCTCAATATATAATAACCAGAGTAGTTGAAGAATAGCTATTAATTAATATTAATAATTCACCTTTACAAAATTATAAGGTTCTGTGTATTAAAAAAAACAAGCGTACTTATTAAATTACTTTCATGGGCATCTCATTAAAAAAAAGGTCCTTTTTGATTTGGAGTGAGGAAGGACTGCTACTTCTGCTGTTTTGAAAAGAAAACCTGAGAAATGAGGGGAAGTACTGTGTAGAAAATGTTTCTTCTCATATTTCCTGCTTTTGCCTAAAACAAAAAAGACCAAACACTTTTAGGGGAATAACCATGAAATATATCTTAAAGTGTGATTTCTCATTCAAAATAATAAAATTATTGGCATTAGATTCACCCAGTATATATAGTACCTTAATTCATGTTACAAATAGATGAGAGTTAATTTAAAGATTTTTTCTTTTGGGAAGAAAAATATTTTATAAGCATTGTGCATATATTAGAAGACCACAACAACCTTACCCACCAGTGGGCCTGCTGCCCACCCCATCTGTCTTCACTCTTGAGTCTTGGAGAAAAGTAATGTTGCCACAGCAAGTGGCTGCCCATGTCCAGAGGAGAGATGAGGAGCCTAAGCTCAGGCACACAGAGCATGCACTTGGTAGTGGAGTGCTCAGGAGCCATTCGGGTCATTTTGCCACACTGTTTTCATGTGGATCTGAGAAGATTATGCCATCTTTCTTAGGTACTGTAAGGAGTGAGATTATCCACAGGAAAGTTCTGCATCAGCTTTACTAGAGAGAATGTTACTAATATAGACATAGGTGATTTTTCTTTTATGGGGCATGGAAGAGTAGAGCACATGAACTTATTTATGAATTTCTTTGCAAAGTTTCAAATGTGCATACTGATGCAATACTGCAAACCATTAATCCTCCTTCCCCCTTGTACGAAAGGGATGCACTACTTACACATGGAGGCTCCGGTCAAGGTGATCCACAGAGATCTCAAGTCAAGAAATGGTAAGTGCTCACACCTTTTGATCTTACTATTTCACTACAATTCACTTGCACACCTCCTCATAAAACCAGCATGGTGCCTTACATGGTTTTTGCAACTCATTGTTGGTTATACACTCTACCATGAAAACATTGTCACTTTCAATAAATATCAAAATCTGTATGTTATTTGAGGAAGATGCCTGGTGCTCTACTGTGTGAGTCTAGCACAGGATGGAGACAACTAGATTGCTTATGTTTTTGGGGGTTTTTTTCTAAAATAAGAAATGCTTAGCTTAATGCCTTTTGGCCAAGTTTGTTAACACATCTCCAATTATTTCCTTAGGATCCTTTTCTAAAATGGGCACGGCAGGTCAAAGTGCGTAGTTGTGTATTTTAAGTCTCCTATTTTTAGATGCTTCCCTTGCCAGCAGTTTTGAGTCTTACCATCTGAATCACATGGTTTACATCTTTTGGTCACTCATGCCCATATTACCTGGAGTAGTACCCAAAGATAACCAGCATGCTTGAGGGTTCAGAACGTAAAGGCATTCCTTTTTTCTTTTCTGGACTGTCTATACTTTATGAGCCTATATTTATCCTTTGGAAAGTGATCATCTTAAAATAGCTCCCAGGATTAGACGCTACCTTCTTCCATTACGTCACTTCAGAGTTATCAGAAAGGCAGTAGGACTGTTTAGCTTTGGAGCTAAGTAAGGATCCGAGTTTGCTGCTTAAGAGAAGAAGAAAGAAAGCAGCCCTTGCTATCGGTTATTCCACACTTTCTAGCTCTCTCGGTAGGGAGGGAAAGCATTTATTTTTAGAAATTTAAGACCACAGCAGCTACAGCGGGAATTTACCAACAGCGTGATCCTCAGAATGGGTGATGACAGCACGGAGCAAGAGGAGCCTGGACAGGGTCCTAGATGCGCTGCTCACACTCGGAACCTCCAGGCCACGTTCTGACTGTCACACCCTGTCTGTCCTCACTTTCTCTTTGGTTCTTCTGAGACAGACATACTTGTGATATAGAGCTGTCAAACAGGGGATCATTAGAAAATAGTCTCTAACTAGGTAGGAAGTAGCAGACTTTATGACCAAAATTTCAGTCCATGCTATTAATCTCAATATAAAGAAGTTATTTGATTTTCTTAAACCCATGTACTTAGCATGAAGGCTATACAACAATGGCAAATTCCTAAACTTTTTTTAAAAAAAATTACAAGGCATGTTAATAGGAAGCATTAACATGAAAAGAATACCAACCTAACCTTGGCAATTTATTTTTAGGGGAGAAGGAGTGAGTCTTCGTTTTCTGTAGTGTTTTTCAAAACTTAAGCTATGGGCTAGCCAGATGGCTCAGTGGGTAAAGGCACTTGCCACCAAGCCTGACCACCTGAGTTTAATCCCTGGACACCACACTTTAGAAGAAGAGGACTGACTCCCACAAGTTGTTCTCTGACCTCCATGTGCTTAGCATGGCCTATATGCACCCACACATACACGCATACACAAAATAAGTAAAAAAAATAATAAAAGTCAAAACATATTGTTAGCCTGTATGTATATCCGGTGCATATGTGTGTACATGCACATGCGATGGTGTACTTTTGAAAGGCAGGGGACAACTGTGTGGAGTCGGTTCTCTCCTTCACCTTTATATGGGTCTCTGGGGTCCAACTCAGGTCACCAGGCTTCCATGACAAGTGCTTTTATCCCCACTGAGCCTTCTCTCCAGCCCCCATAGTGAATATTTTTATAATGTTTTTTCAATGAGCACTTGCTAATCTTACATTAAGAAAGGGGAATGGGGAGATATTTTAAAAACAATTGAATATTACTAATATTTATTTGCATTTTTTATTTGAAAAACTGTGCATCTATCTCATTCCTCCCAACCCCACATTTACTTTGGGGCTATATTTATGTATTAGATCACACAGAATGTTTTCTCCAGCTACCAGAATCACTAGGAACGGCTGCTGTATTGATGAGCTACCATGCTCAAGGCACTGAGTGGCTTATTAAACAAATGCCAGAAACCCTGTTGAGTCATCAACCCACAAGCTCCGCTCTTACCTTCCCACTCCCATAACAGCCCCCCTTCTGTGTCAACACTAAGCTGATGTCAGCGTTGAAACTGTTTATTAGAAATACTTGCGTAGATGTTTACATGAGCTTACAATGTATTATGTTCAAAATGCCCTTCTCATCTTCCCCATCTGCCTTAAAAAGCCATCCCTGCATTCCCTTTAACGTGCAGTACCAGGTGCTCTTGTTTCCCTCATTTGTATGAAGCAAGTATCTTAAAAGCCATTTGGAGCAGCGCCTCATGGAAGTAAGCTTTTAAAAAATGATATCGCCCTTATTTATAATATAAAATTCTTTGTTTCTCACTCTGTCTCTGTGCCTCAATGTGTGTGTGTGTGTGTGTGTGTGTGTGTGTGTGTGTGTGTGTGTGTGTGTGTGTGTGTGTTTGGAACAGGGTCTTGTTATATATCCCTGACAGGTTTGGTTCTTGCTATACAGCCTTGAACTCATGGTAGTTCTCTGTCTCAGCCTGGGGTTACGGACACACAGCACCATGCCCAGCTTATGCGGTGAAGTTAGAAATGTAGCGATATCATAATTAGAAATATGAATCTGTGCTTTTCTTCGGTGTAAGACATTGCAAACACAAATGATTATCATAGTTTCTGTGTTCTCTTTCAGTCGTCATTGCTGCTGATGGAGTACTGAAGGTAAGGTTGTTTCTTTTCATTTGGAGAAAGGTGTTCATTTCTGATAGAGGTCTTATGACTGATAATCTCTTGTCAGTGCTGGGTAGGAAGCTGATGTTGGTTCCTGTGTCCTCAGATCTGTGACTTCGGTGCCTCTCGGTTCCACAACCACACAACACACATGTCCTTGGTTGGAACTTTCCCATGGATGGCTCCAGAAGTTATTCAGAGTCTCCCTGTGTCTGAAACCTGTGACACGTATTCCTATGGTGTGGTGAGTGAATTTCTCATTTCTTGTTTACCAAAGGACATAGGAAGGGCAAACAGCCTAGAGAAGAGCGTGGCCACCTTTTAGCTTGTGTCTGACACAGGAGGATCATCTATGGTGGCAGCATAGGGACAGAGCTTTCCAGCTGTCACAATGTGTGCTTTGATCACGTATGCCTGCATTGAGAAGAACCGTCACTACTTCCATCATTACTTCACAGAGCCTGATCAGTGCTGGGTCCACCCCCCATGAAAGCTACTGTGCGGGGTGGAAATAGGACTGTGGAATAGCTGTGTAACTCACTGATACTGCAGGTCTCCCGGAATACACTTGATTGTAATAGATTTCTCACGTGGTATGTGACCACCAGTAGCTGTCAAGTGAGCTAAACTTGCGTATTTCCAAAACTACAAAAGAGCATGTAGTTAGACCAGATAACCTTGTCCAGATCTGCTGCAAGTCCTACAAAAACAAGTGTTGATGTTGTTACTTGAGAATGACAAGAGATGGGAGGAGCGAGGGTTGAGTGGGGGGAGGAGCCAGGTGAGGGTCCTTTGGGAGGGAGAAGCTTCGGGTAGGGTGGTAGGGTAGCTCTTGCTGCAGGAAGCATTTCTTTTTGGCCCCTCTTTTGAAGGTGTTTTTCCCTGAAGTGTTGTATATCCTTTAAAAAGCCCAGAGCATCATGGGGATGCTGTGTCTCTCGATCTCATATCAGTCTATGCCCATCACTTTCCTCGTAAGAAACAGCTTGGGCCCCTCAGCAAACCCTTTTTCCTGAGGTGGGGGGTAATGGCCAGGGAAGGACCACGTGTCAGGCATGCCCCTTTCTCTTATTAGTCCGCTGGCTTCCTAGTGTGTGGGGACTTTACAGTTGTCTGGCGCTTCCTAAATCATCTTATACACAGCTAAACTTTGTTGGCTATTGAAAACAATTTCAAAAATAGATTATGTATTTTGGGCTAAAGTCTAAGGGTTTTGTTTTTTGAGACAAGGTTTCTCTGTGTTTAACAACTCTGGCTGTCCTGGAACTCACTCTGTAGACCAGGCTGACCTTGAACTCACAGAGATCCGCCTGCCTCTGCCTCCCAAGTACTGGGACCAAAGGCATACACCACCAGGCCCAGCAAGCCTTGAGTTTTAAAGGTTAAAGGATGATAGTAGTTATCCACTTTAAATATCTGATTTCCCTTCATTCTGAGTGTTTCTAAGAATGAAATCCACGTTACTGCTGAGAGCAAAGAAATACTTCTCATTGATAGAAGGGGAGACACAGGATAATCCTTCCAGAGGACAGTGGCTTCTGAGGCTGCGTTCTGTGTCAGGAGTTACTACAGTGTAATTGTCACACACTCATCTGGAAATTCTGGAGACGGAGCTTTGTTACAGTTTAAGGCTTGTTGTGCTAGGACTTAGCTAGGTTGTGGAACACTTGCCTGGCATATACAGGGCCCTAGGTTCAGTCCCCAGCACTACAGAAGGAAAAGCCTTAAGCCTTGTGTGAAGTTGTTTCCTCTTACCAAGTTGCTCTCCATTACTTTAGGGGAAGTGATCGCTTATTGAGTTAGTCTCTGATTTACATTTTACGTGCCTCGTTTCATGCCGCTGAACAGAAGCCAGTGTGCTTTCTCTGTAAGGGGCCAGCTTTGGGGACTACTTATCCTCTGGCAGCAGGCTGCTTCACAGCTCCTTAAACATGACAGGGACGTTTTTTTGGTTCGAGACAGCCCAGACTCTGCAGACCTTCTATGGAGCAAGGGGATTTGGGAAGACATCAGAGTGGCTGAAGCTCGTGGGTCATTTGGCCATGGTCCAGCTGGTCACGTGACTGAGCAGGAGGCCAACTCTGCTTGCACACACAGGTGTATATAAAAATAGAGACCCATATTTAGGAAGCCATAGTTTTAAATTGGCTTGCACAGTTTTGTAGTCAAATGGGTTTTAGGCTTATTTTCTACTCCAGCAGTCCATGTATAATATTTCCTTTGACAATTCTCCCCAAGCCTTGGAATTTACCTATTAAAAAGTTTTGACCTAAAGTCACAACTACAAGTTATGTATAGAATGAACTTCTAGTTTCAGTATTGTTGCATTTATGAAAATAAACTCTGATCACTTTCTTCCGAAAGTTTCCAGATACCTGGACTCTGTGTGAAATGCACCAATCTGCCTTTCTTTAAGACTGTGCCCTGTAGCTGAGAACCAATGCCTTTTCCCCCTGGGAGCCAGAGCTGCTGCGCCATGACTTCTGATGCCAAGCTAAGGACTCGCCTGCTCGTCTTTCAATCCCCATGGCGGCCCTCACTGATCACTTCCTTAAGCATCTTCCTGGAGCTGGAGGTCTCCAGTTTGTTTATAAAAATCTCTGGCCCCCGAGACTGTGAGCTGCTTTTGAGAGAAGGGCACCACATTCAATTAGGAGGCCCTCAGGACACATGTGTACCACCCCTACCTTCACTTGCCTTCATTTGGCTTTCTTGGGAGAAAGATGGTTTTGCTCTTTTGTTATTAAGTCAAGAAGAGCTCACTATGCAGCTCTGGCTGACTTGGAATTTCCTATGTAGGCTAGGGTGGCCTGGAATTCACAGAGATCTTCCTGTCACCTAACTGCTGGTATCAAAGACATGAGCCATCCTGCTGACTGGGGAAGGGACTTAACAAACCATTTCCTAAAACACGTCCACACAGCCAGGACTACACTCCACCACACACCAGCTGTAGCTTAGAACCCAACCGTCTAGTCCTCTGATTGTATCAGTCTCAATTCAATTTCATGAAAGAGCCTTCCTGTCCTCGAGTTGCAGAAGCAGAAATGTTTCCATAGCTCTTTAAAAACAGCTTCTAGGGGGCCGAACAGATGGCTGCTCCTCCAGAGGACCTCAGTTCAGTTCTCAGCACCCATGTGGGGGTTGGCAACTGTCTAACTCTAGTCCCAGGGCACCCAACGCCCTCTTCTAGCCTGTGCAGGCACTGCACACGTATCATGCACAGACGTACCTTCAAGCAAGCATAATATAAAATAAATGTAAATCTCAAAACAATGAAGCCAGCATCGGGGCCTGAGAATGGCTTGATGTAGTAAAGGTGTTTTCTGTCAAGGCTGAGGACCTGAGCTTAATCCCTAGGAGAACCTACATGATAGGAGAAAACAATCTCATCAGATGGCGTCTGCCCCCCACATGCATGCCATGCATAAAATGAGTAAAGATTAAACCATCTTCTGATGTCAGTTTCTCCCTGAGTGAGTTTGGCTGAGAATGCCAGCCTGCCTCACGGAGAACTCTGTCCGAAGAACTCCAGGGGAGTTGAGTGTGCTAATTTAATGATAAGCATTCAGGATTGCATTTGGACTGTCCCTCCTCTTTCTGTTCATTTTAAATAAGCATCATCAGTGAAAGGGAAAAGCCAAGGCTTCTGTCCAGAGCCTTCTGTTTTAAACAAACAAACACGAAAAACCATTTTGAGTTCCCAGTGGGTTGGACACCAGAAAGAGAGGGTAGTTATTCTAATTGAGGCCATGTCAGGCATAGGAGTTTGTGACCCTCGAAATTAAAAAATAGCATCAACCTAAAAAAAAATCTATGTGTGTGTCTATACATATGTGTGTGTGTGTGTGTGTGTGTGTGTATTATACAGAATTATGGTATCCCTTCAAAAGGAGCATCATTCTAACATAAAACATCCCATAGTTCATGAAGAACATGACCATCAAAAAGTTGGCTTTTGAAACTCACCCAAAAAGAAAGACATGTTTTTGCTTTTTGTCTTTCTTGGATTGATAATCTTGGATTGCTTCTTAGTTAATGACAAGACTAAGTATCTTTGCACTACTTTCAAAGAAACTTCGTGTCCTTTCACCATTTGACAAGAAGGGGGTATTTGTCCACTCCCAGGATAGTGTCTCCTGGAAGATGGGGAGCATGTTTAGTATATGATCTGCTAAAAAGAAGAGCACGGATGACTGAAAGGACAGCCTGGGAGAACACACGCCTGTCACCCTCCCCAGTGACAAGGGTTACCCTCCTAGGAGCTTCCAGCCCAAACCAGCTTGGACTGCACTAGCTTAAGAGGCAGCCTCGGTGACTTGTCTGGAGCCCTGTTCCAGAACCAGCCGGGTTCAGGTAATGGCTTCCTATTGTTTGTGAGAGAAAAGGCAGAAACACACAGTCTCATCCAAGTTTCTGTTCTGTAAACTGAAAATAGAAATTTCCCTAGTGAGTGCAGTTTAACTGGGAGGACGTCTCAATATACAATGAGTTGGAAAATATTTTTAAGGTGAAAGATCACAGCAGTGTTTGGCCTGCATCCTCGGAACTGGTATTTTAAGGCATCAGTTTAATGTATTTTTAGACCTCCATGTGACTTCCTCAACAAAATTACTTTTTTATGCCAAATGTCATTCTTATTGAATGTAGGAAAACGCCATCCAAGCTCGTTCTGCTTTCGTTTGGGTACATTCCCAAGTCTGGGGAATTAGTGAGGGGAATCATGGGAGGAGCTGACACTGTGTGGGCTCCAGGGCTTCGGGCTTCTGGCGGTGAGCACCTCTCCGCAGTTTTGACTTCCTCAAGCGCCTGCCTTGGCTGCCATAGCTTTTCAGAGTCTCAGACGGAGCGACACTGTCCAGATGCTTCACGGTTATAGCTCTTAATTTATTAGAACCTTGACATTTTCCAGACAGGTAAAAATGAAGAAGAGTTAGCTTTCTGATGTTCTTTCCTCAGATTCTTAGAGGGGCTGCATTTTACTCTGTAGAACCCAGGCAGATTTTGAATGTGGGCACGTGCGTGAGTGAGTGTGTGCGTGTGTTGGTGAGACTCTCCGTATTTCTGACTTTTCTCTCACAAACAATTGGAAGCCATTACCTGAACCCGGCTGGTTCTGGAACAGGGCTCCAGACAAGTCGCCGGGGCTGCCTCTTAAGCTAGTGCAGTCCACGCTGACTTTGGCTGGAAGCTCCTAGGAGGGTAACCCTTGTCACTGGGGAGGGTGACCATGAAAGGGAGAGGTTTGAATTGTTCACCTGAATTTTTGGGGCCCTGGAGCATTTGATATCTTTAAAGCTGCCTCCTTTTTCCATTTTCCTCAGCAATGCCGAATCAATCAATTTTCCCACTCTTTGCCTCCATTCCTCCTCTGTCCCTAGTACCAACAGTGTGTTAATCATAGCCAATTGAGGGACTCCACTTCCTGCTCAGCCTAGCTCTGTCCCTGCACAGGCAAGGTGACAGAGTGACTACATGCCTGTGCTGACTCTTACCCTCCCTCACTTACAGCCAGCACTAGACTCGTCCCCTTCTGGGATGCCCCTTACCTTTTCGTAATCATTTACGTGACTCAAATAGAATTATTCAGTAGCTCTTCTGAAGAAGTACCTTACACACTTGATTAAAAACTCAGAGAGGCTTCAGGGATTCTTTTTTCCCCTCATGCTTGAGAAGCATCTGCCAATTTCCCTGATTTTCTTGCTAATTATCTTCGTATTAACCAGCATTCATTTAACATGTTATGTCTTGAACAAGACAGCAGTCTGGCTGAGGGCATAATGGCTATACAGTTACAGGCTTACAGGATGACTCAAATAGAGTCATGCCTTCCATCTCGACTCCTATATAGAAATGGGCTGTTGAGTTAGCGCAAGAGAGAGCAAACGTACCTTGGAGAGTTGTCACCCTGAGACTGCCTTGGCTCCCTCAGAACCTACAGCAGAGCCTGTGTGTTTTCTCCAGAAACTGGGGCTACCCCAGCCCTAGAATTACATGGGATGAGAGCACAGCTTCCAAGTAAGAAAGAAGTGTGTGTTCCTGCTGTCCCACTTGGTGGCTGAGTGTCTGTAGGCAAGTTTATCCCATTTCCTCATCCATAAACTGAGGGTGATGTCTGAGGCTCAATAATGATCAAGGTGACACATGTAATGGGCATTTGGAGCATATTAGGCACTCAATAAATTATAGTGGTTGTCATATTATGATTATTAGCAAAATTAAAATTGCTTTTGTGCAGAGTATTAGTAGATGAAACTTAGTGGTGTCAGGCTGGCATGGTGACACATGCCTGTAGTTCTACCACTTAGGAGGCTGAGGCGGGAGGATCATGAATTCAAGGTTACCCTGAGCTACATAGCCAGATTCTGTCTCGAAAAAAAAAAAGTTTGGATGCTACTTGAATAGAAACAGACAGAAACTGGGTGTTCAAATCCCCATTACTCGGTGTTTAAAGAGAAGCCCAAATCTCCATCCCAACACTAGTTTGCTTTCCTTAGCATTTCGGTTGGTGTTCGTTGCCGTGCTTCCTTGAGTTTTACGCACAGTTGGATGCACATATTCGCTCATGCACACAGTCAGCTTATATGTGGATTAAATGTGTGTTATACTTTAGGATATGGTATAATATATGTGTGTAGGAATGGACCCCTTAGACTGGCTCATTCTGAGGGGAATTTGTCCAAATCACAAAATCTAAATGTTTTAATTTTACAGATATCTACCAGTATGGGGCAGATGGGTTTGCTAGTGGTGTGAACTGGGGATTTTGTTTTTAATGTGGGCATTACTGAACCTTTCAAAACTGTGTTGAATTCCTGGTTCCCATCTAATAAAAAATGTATCTGAGATTCAGGGCAGAACGACTGTTCTCTAACAAAATACAAAACCTGGTTTGTGGGAATATGTCAACATCCCAGTGAGTCAAAAGATCAAGTTTAATCACTGGTATAAAAATTTAAGTGTAGACATTCCAATTCCTAAAACAAGTTTTTTCTTTATATACAAAGAACATGAAAGTATGTAACATATGGTAGAAGTCCTATGTATGAATTCATACATATATTGTCTAACTTTCTACAGATGGTTGGCTACGCCTAGTAATTGGATACAATTAAATGCTAGCTACATTTTCAGTAATATACCAATATAAAGTACCAGAATAAAAATTCCATTTTCTTTTTGTTATAGGTTCTCTGGGAGATGCTAACAAGGGAGGTCCCCTTTAAAGGTTTGGAAGGATTACAAGTAGCTTGGCTTGTAGTGGAAAAAAACGAGGTAAGACTCCGTTTCTCCATTCAGGTGCATAGATCAGAAAACAGTATTGGGGTTTTGCAAAAGACTTTTTCATCTTCTTCAAATTGAAAGTAAGTTCACGCTTATGGAAAGATTAGCAGTAGGAGCTAACACAAAGGGTCAAAGTGATGTTATTCCTCATGAATGGACCCTTTACATCTAATTGTTGCAGCTTCACGTCGTGATGCTGTAGATCAAAAATTGTACAAGTACTGTACTAGTTTCTCAGTCTCAATTGTAAAACCTAGGGGTTTGTTCTTAGTGATGAAAGAAGCCATTGCGTCCAAGGTAGGGGAACAGTTTAACTGCATCTCCTGCGTTTAGGACATCTTTTTTACTGGCCGGGAGTTGATATATCTGTAAGAGACCTTCAGCTACTTCAACTTACCTCTCCCAGCAGGAGTCACTATAGTACAAGAAACTGTCGCTTAGATGAGAATTTCAAAAATAAAAGAAGAAAAAATAGTTTCAAAAAGGGGAAAAATTACAGTTTTGCCACCTACGTTGAGCACTACATTGAAGATGAGCTCCTCACTGGAATTGGCGAGGCAGTGGCACAGTGCTGACTTCTTCATGCAGAGTCGTTCCATTTCAAAGGGACTTCAGTGGCGTAAACACCGTTTGTGCTGTGTCCCCAGCCTCGCCTTTCTTCTCCCCACAAATTGAGGCTTTCAGCTAGTTGGACCTATGAGCCTACATCAGAGAACATGACACATCCATATCAAAGAGAGCAACTACATTCTGAAAGGTTTCAAATTGTCGCTGAAACGCACAGCCATGGAAATCTCTCCGCATAAGGAGGAAGCATCCAGTACCACAGCATTAGGAGAACTTAGATGGCGTGGTGGATGTGCACTCTTGTGCTTGCAAGGCAAAACAACTTATTTCCCGGGACATCTTCATTTCCATATCTGTGTACAAAGGCTCAGTGAGACCTTAAAGTGAAATATTCTCCATAAGAATATATAAAAATAGGCCCTTTTAGCACTTTAACAGAATTGGATTGATCTGCACGCCCTGTGAGTACACAGCAAGCCAGGTTAATCAGAAAGCCACTGTTGACCAGGAGAAACCAAGATGCTGTCTCCCTGACCCCATGGACCCAGAGCTACCTAACTAATTTGTCCTCCTGACTCATTGCGGTGGCTGAATTTGATGGGCTAGGGCTGCCAGCATAAGAGATGAAAAGGACTTCCATGCAAGACCAAGCCTCACTCATTGCTTCACAAGAACTGTTTGGTTTTAATTAGATGATTTCCCATGCACAGTTCAGGAAGACCTCACGCAGGATAAGTAATCGTTTGGGACACGAGAACCCACTGCTTCTGCTCTGACTCTTTTGCCAGAGAGATGGTTGAGTGTTTTAGCTTAGGATTGACGAATCCAACTGAAGAGAGCATTGACCTTTAATTCAGCTGACTCAGAAGCAACCTCTACACTACATGGGATAGATTAGGAAAGGGGTTTAGAAAGCCACCAAGATCTTCCAAAGTTGACAGGATACTTAGTATTTTGCAGTTAATTTTTTTACGTCTAGAAAGAGGCAGAATAGGCGCAGCCCAGTGCATACCCAAAGCATTGGATATTTAAAGCTGAAGAGAATGGTGACTTTTGCCCTGCCTGAGGGTTGGGAAGCTCCCACCAACACCCCTCAGAACTCTGTAGCATCACTCAAGGAAGCCACTCCTTCTGTCCCCTACAGATCCCATGGGACATATTGTGGTGTGCTGTAATGAGTCATAGCTGATGGAGACGCAGAGGCTCCCTCAACCATTCAGTAAACGAAGTAGGAAGTTGAGAGAATCCACGTGGTGACATAAGATCTCTCAGCTTGCCAATGAATCAAAGTAAAGCTGGTTGAATTAAGGATAATTATCTGCCATTCCCATTTTACACTGCACTTATTTGTCAAAAAAATGTGGAAATTAGGTATTGATGGGATTTCCAGTGTTACCATTCAAGGTGTCTTCTTCATTCTACCACATTAGGGGCACTCGCTTTCCAAACAAATTCTGCTCACGTAGTATTAAGACAATTCCCAGAGATTGAGTTCCCATAGTAACAAAACCGAGACTTTAAGAAATGTAACTCGTAAAACCTCCTCAACTTGCAATATTTTATTTATCTTTACTGTTGAATACTTTTGGTTATTGGGTTGGAGAAAGGTTTCCATATTTTCATCATTTAAATAAGAATGATGTGCTTAAACTGCCAAGGAGAGATTGTTAATGTGATCTATCTAGTCATTCTGTAATATCTATATACAATTAGTAGGAGTTTGTTTTTAATGCTTTTATTTTGAAATAATTATGGACTCCTAAGAGTCTGTAAAAATATTACCGAGAATTCTGTGTACCCAGCTTTCCCACTGCTAGTACCTTATATAGCCACAGTGGCATCCGAGCTGGGCAGTTAGGATTGGGACAGCACTCTAGGTGGAGTCCTCCCGTAATCTCTCCTCCACGTAGAGCATGCACCACTGGTTTATAGGAGAGCATGCTTTCTAGCATTGTATCTGAGGATCTTTGCTTCTAACCTACAGAAGAAGGCTTTTGACTGGTTTATAGGAGAGCATGCTTTCTAGCATTGTATCTGAGGATCTTTGCTTCTAACCTACAGAATACAGCTTTTGACTGGTTTATAGGAAAGCATGCTTTCTAACATTATATCTGAGGATCTTTGCTTCTAACCTACAGAAGAAGGCTTTTGACTGACCTTTTTTTTTCCTGGCATTAACGTCTATTAAAAATAGATTCAAAAACCTTTATTATGCTTTGCCAAGTGAACAGTGAACCTTACAGAAGGCATGAGCTTGAGAGGGCATTACTAAAAACTATTTTTAATATAAGAAATACATATGTTTGCTTTTTAATTTCCATGAAAATCAGTGAGCCTTCAGAATGTTTTAGAGTATAATTTCTACTTTTATAAAGCACATGATTCTTATATAAAATGTGTTTTGTTGTAAATAGCATATTGTCACTTAAAAAATCTTCATAAAACGTAAACTTTAAGTGGGATGAGTGAGATGGCTCAGGAGGTAAAGGCACTCGCTACCTAGCCTGACAACCTGAGTTCAGTTCCCGAGACCCACGTGGTCGGAGAGAACCTACTTCCTCAAATTGTCTTCTCACCTCCCCCTGCACACCACAGCACAGGTGTGTGTTCACTCACACACACACACACACACACACACACACTAAATTACTAATTAATTTTAAAATGTATTTTATGTGCAAAAATTTTAAAACTTAACAATTAATTTACTACTTTTTAACTTTAGAAAGATAAAAACTTAAATATTTTCACATCTTTTGTATAAAATGGGGCAAAAATATTTTTTAATATCCTACATAACTTAGTTATTGAGAGCTATTCTACTTTTAAATGTGAAACCTTTATTCTAAAATATATAAGTTGTAAGTAATGCTACCAAGTAGTACAAAGATCTGGCCATTTTGGGATGTTTGGAATCATTAGGAATTCATTAAAACTTTGTTATCAGGATATTAAATATTTTAAGACATCAAAGAAACCCCTTACATAAAAGTGTCTGAGTCTGTGATTAGCTAATACCTAGCGGTATTAGACATTAAAAATTACTTTTTCTTTGTGTGATGTTTGAAGTGTTGTGTCTAAAAAGGCTTTCCAGTAAGAGAAGATGACAGAAGGAAACCCAAATCCAGCCTGTTGACATTAGCTTCATTGGTAACCACTGAGGTCAGGCTGCGCTGAAGCGTGTCTGTCTGGAGCCCACTCTTATTTGTACAGAGTAGACACAGGCGCATACAGCACCTGTAGTGTAGGTCTTTATTCATTCTCATATTCCAACCTTTTTTTAAGGATACAACTGATTTTCCTACAGATTTCTGTCAAAAATGTGCAGTTCACAATATAGTAAAATAACAGTTGAAACATATTGTTCTGTTCTGTGATGTCAAAAGACTAGAAGTTTGAGAGGCTTGGCGTAGCCTTGATTTGGTGAGAATTGCTCTATTTTGTTAACTTCACTTTGATGTGAAGATTGGGTGTAATTCTAAATGAAGACTATCAGTTTTATTTTCCTATGCATAGCTTCACCCAAATTCAGTTTTAAATTTTCTGTTTGTAAAATTTCCTTGGTATGACAGTTCTTTACATCTGCACAGTTCTCCATTCCACCACATCCAGCACCTTCCCCTTCCCCCGAGACACACACACACACACACACACACACACACACACACACACGCACGCACGCACGCACGCACGCACGCACGCACGCTCCCTTCCTCCCTCTGCACTGGGGATGAAGCCTATTTCTTCCTGAGTGCCTTTTGCTCGGCCACTGATACATCTCCAAACCCAGTGCTCTCTTCCTAACCACAGCTCTTGCTTTGCTGAAAAGAAAGCCAGAAAACCTCAAGCACATGCATCATACTTCAAGTCAGTATAACCCTGTACTGTGAAAAGTAAATGAAAACACTACAGTACACACATGTTCAGGCAAGACTTGCTAGGCAAGATGATGAGGCGATTTAAGGTGCTTAGCCTTGTGGGTGAATGGTATTGAGTGGCTGCAAATACAGCCTGATAGAGGTAAGCTGTGTTAATGACTTCATTTTAAGACCTGCCCTGTTGTTAGTGACAGTCCTTAAAATCGTAGTTAGGTTATGAATAATGCAAAAATCACTCTCCATGGATTTCTTGTGTGTGGGCATTGTACTCTTGGGAAGTCTTGTGTATTTGGAAACAGTTCAAAAATATTTTCTGTTTGCTTGTAACTCAGTTAGATGCCAAGTGCAGAAAAGTATAAACTTCGTTTTGTTTACTAGACTAACATAAAACCACATGGAACATTTGCAATTTGGTGACTTGAAAGAGAGTTCTTGATTATATGATGCTTTATGGTATATTGAGGGATGTCTAGTCATCATTTATTTTTATAGTGTGGAGGATCAAACTCAATGCCCCATATGCCAGGCTGTTGCTGTTACTGAGTTATTGGCTGGCCCCTCGAGCCTTTTAAAACAAAATTCCTCCTGGAGATAGAGGCATGTCATGGTCTATGAGAACTGGAACTGTAGGATGTGAGGGTAGAATTGAACCTCAAAGCTAATTTGTTTTGTATCAAGTCCATTTCAGAACACTGGTGTGACCAAGGGTAAAGCCATAATGAATCATGCATTCTAAACGGCACAATCAGAATTACCAGTGCGAAAATGCAGAGTGTTCTTCTGTGCCAGAGATGTTTTCAGAGACTCACACCTATTGCCAAAACTCAACTTGTCTCCTAGTTACCTGTCTGGTATGTGGGAATCACAAGTTGCCTATAAAAACATGGTAATAAATGTGTAGTGTTAGATGCAGCGTTATGTTCCAGCTTGCCCCTTTCCTGCCGTAGTTTCCTTTCGGTGAGATTGTTTTCTTGCATTTGCCATGATGAACCTGACCTTTCCATTTGCCATAATTTCCATGTGGGAAAGCAGTATTCTTTGGAGATTTGACAGGACAAATCTGTGAGTGAATTCTCCCATCATATATTAATCTGTGGAAGCCTCAAATTCCCTGTCTTGTTTATGCTAAATTAACTCTTTGATGATCCTTCAAAGGATATTTCCTTGGCTCCAAGAGTAAACACCTGTTTCTTCTTGTCTTTGCCTCCTCTCTGTAGAGATTAACCATTCCAAGCAGCTGCCCCAGGAGCTTTGCTGAGCTGTTACATCAGTGTTGGGAAGCTGATGCCAAGGTACTTTCGTTATTGTTCAACTTCTGAAATTTTACCTGTTCGCTTTTGAGTTTTTAAAACTTAGCTTAGCCAAAAGTATTTGGCAGTGAAAGTGAATTGCCAAGCCTGTGAATCCTAGGATGCCTGCTGCAGCCCCATGGTGACATCTCCATAACTTAATACCTCTAGATCAAGTGACTATTATCAACTCTTCCTTCTTTTAACAGTGCTCTTTGGCATTCTTGACTCAGAGACAGTTTTGTTCTTTTGCTTTTAATCATGATCATTGTGCCTTATAAGGACAACTAACACAGTACTCACTATATGTAAGGCTGTGTTTCATGCACTTTCTATTAACTCTTGGATATAGGAGCTGATCCCTCCCTTGGCTCACAGATGGAGAGCCAAGGCATACACAGGTTAAATGACTAGTCAGGGTCATATGTCTTGTACTGGTGGAGCTAGATATGAATCCAGACAGTCCACTATGGCTCTTAACGTCTACTCCATTGCCTTTCTGCCTAATGGAGGAGCAGGCAGAAAGAAGCTGTATTTCATTAGAATCCCAGTATGTCCTCCCTGGGCAGTTCCAGGGGTGTTTTTAACTGTTGCAATAAAATTGAAGAAATTCCAATCCGATGCATCTATGAATTTATCACATGTAGCATGGATGGCCAGTATTCTTTCCTCACAAAGGCCAGTTTCACAAGAACACTCTTAGATACATATGAAAATAGTTATTGATAAAATGATAGCTAGTCTCACATTGGCTTCAAAATAAAGTGGTGGTCAAAGCAATACAAATTAAACATGATTGGAAGTGATAACCTTTGAAGTTCAGTCATAGAATATAGAGACATTGTTTTGTGTATGCTCAGATTTTCATAATAAAGGTTATAGTCTTAAAACAAGGCTTACAGATTAAATATTAAAAACAACAGAGTGACCAAATTTAAGAGAGAAACAAAAATAAAATTCAAATTTGTCTAGTTTTTTTCATGGAAATAGAAGTATTACAACTTATTCAAAAATAGAGACCATAAAAATAACAAACAAACCTAAAAAAATACAGAATTCTTCTTTAATACATACCTATTTCCAGTGAGAGCCCTTTAATGAATGGAGACAACAAAAGTCTGTTCTTGGGCAATGTGCTTCTTGGGTGGAAATGGCTTAGAGACAAACTGGCCATGTGGACAGATTTGTGTTGATTAGTGCAGAATATTTCTGGCACATTGTCCCACACCGAGAGCAAAATACAATGACACTGCAGCAAGAGCGGTGTTGGGAGGCCTCCCGCCCCTGTGCCTTGCCTCCATTCTGGGAAGACCCGGGTGCTGGGGTCTGCAGCCCGTGCTCATCCTGCCTGGGCCCTGGCATCCTGCAGCTTCCATCTTCCACTCCAGCTCTTCAGACGTCCTGCAGCTCTTTTCAAGTGATGCCCTACTTAACGTAGTATTACTCTTCTTAAAGAATGTGTCATTTGGATTGTTACTACGTTTATTAGATCACTGTCAATGGTGCTAGACGTTGAGTGTTCTGCCTCCCCTGTTTAGACCCTCTTATTTCCAGTGTGTGCTTTTTTTTCAGAATGTAGGGTTTTAAGCATTAAGCATTAAAACAAATGTACACTTTACAACTAATTGGGTTAAGCTATAAGCAGATGTTTGCAAGTTTATTTTCAAACATGTACTGTTTAAATGTTACACATTCCCTCTGCTTTTGTATCTGTTAAAACATATACAATGATTTTAGTAGTTTTTTTCTCTCTCTCATGCTTAATTAGAAATTTCACCTGAAATTATTTGCATTCAATTAGATTATTGCAACCAGATCTCTAGAATTGTAATCATGCCATGCTTCAATATGATTTAATTTCTCAGTCAAAAACTTGGTACTATATTAGTCAAAAATCCTAAGAATGTACACATAAATTATAATATAATCACCTCATGCAACAAATAAGTTAAGCTCAGAGCAATACCTATAAATCTGGCATGCCTTTAACATATAGGAAGGTGAACCTTCTTTAGAACAAAAAGAATCTTGTGCTCCAGGCACATGAAGTATAAAGAAGGTTTGAAATTGATGTTTGTTTCCTAAGTTCACGACGTTTTATTCTGATAAAAGGCCACTATATTTAATTCAATTGGACAGTGGCTGCAGCTCACCCTTCAGCATTCACATGCTAGCCTGCAGGTTCACTTCCTATGCTAACCTGCAGCACACCTAACATGCTAACCTGCAGGTACACCTCACATGTTAAGCTGCAGCACCCCTCACATGCTAACCTGCAGGTACACCTCACATGCTAAGCTGCAACACCCCTCACATGCTAACCTGCAGGTACACCTCACATGCTAAGCTGCAGGTACACCTCACATGCTCCATTCCCTGAGCACATTCTTGCTCCAGTAATACTCCACTGAGTCTTCCCTGACACCCTGCTAACCCTTGTCCAGACCCAGAATCAGTCTTGGTTACTGCCCTAGCTTGTATAGTGGTGTCCTTCCTTGTTAAATGGATTGCATGTTCTGTAAGGGAATGTGTGTACATGTAGGAACAGACACACACACACACAGTTCCTATAACACGTTGCAGAAATAGAAAGTGGATGCAGAAACCAGACCACAGTAAATTTTCTGGTTGTAACTTCTTTTTAAGATAAGCAGTCTGTACAGGACACTTGAAAGACACCTAAACCCTTCAGAGGAGCAGCCACAGGTCCTAGCACAGCGCCATGTACTGTAACCAGCACACTAAAACCTTCACTGCAGAATTGTTGAACTCCTGGGCTCTGGTAATCCTCCTGCCTCAGCCTCCCAAATACCTGGAATGTACCACTGCAGCTAGCTGTGGCTACCCCCTAAATTCTTGTTCTGATAGAGAGCAGAGTCTAACTGTGAAGGAAAGAGTCTTTTAAAGGGATGCTTGTTATCTGAATATAAAGGAATTTCATTTTATTTCAAGAATAGTTAAATGCAGGGGCAAACAAGTCTTTAAAAGTTCATTAGGTGGGCTGGGAATGTAGCTCAGTTGATAGAATTCTTGCCTAGTCTGCACAAAGCACTGGATTCAGCCCCATGCACTGTATAAACTAGGTGTGTTATACACTCCAGCATTTGGGAGGCAGAAAGCAGATTGGGAGTTCAGAGTCATCCTCAGCTACAGGGTTGGAGGCTAGCCTAAGAGCCTTGAGACTAGGATTGTTGTTGTTGTTTTGTTTGTTTAAAAAAAAAAAGAAATCACTACCTCTTGTAGCTCCTTTACTTACAAAATGAAAATCTTATGTTTCCTGTGTTTATTTTATAATCAGTTCTTGTGCAAAGTTTTGCTTCGTTTTTTCATTTAAAACCTGACACATGGTGAGAGACATGAAGATGGAAACAAAGTTTAAAAACACAGGCTTCTTTTCATGTGTCCCATTTAAAGCATTTTCCTTTGTTCATCAGTAACATTTAACTATACATGCCTTCTTCACACACACACCATTTGTGTATGCACACACATGTGCATGTGCCCTTAAAACAAATGAAGACAGAAGTCAGTAAATACGCTAGTTTTGTGTTTCCGAGCTATGGGAAAGTGTTTTTGTTAATGATGTCAGAAGCACCCAGGCCCTGAGAGCAAGCCACCTCGACACTCTTCCTTCCTGTTTTTGTGCTCCTAAATTAAAACGCGTGTTTTAATTGCTGTAGCTGTAATTTGTTCTGAAATGGTGCAATTATGAGGCATGATGAGGAGAGAATGTGCATCATCCTTTTATTATCCTTCTCCATTTTTGTTTTAGCCTTTTGTCTCAGCCTTGGCTGGAGTGGAAAGAGGTGAGCGCAGACAGTGCCTGTTAGAGACAGACCGAGCGAGCGAGCTTTTCAGCTGCTGCCTGCAGCATGTTAAGGTCCTGGACCAGAGCTGGCTTCAGTGTGGGACAAACCTTAAGAACAGTATTGTCATTATGGCTTTAAATTGTTTTTCAAACCAGTGGATTTGGGAAATTTTTATTAGTTCCCATAGGTTGGTAAGCAGATATTGCCCGCCCATGCACATTTTATTTAAAAAAGGAGTGGTAGGAAATGGAAATATTTGTGTAGTAAACAGTTTGGAGTGCATAGTCTAGTTTTTACTCTTTCTACCACATAGTAAGATCGTTAATGGCTTAAGATTCCTAATGGCGTTCTTGGTCATAACTCAAGGTAAGACTTGGTACCTCTCTCCTTACCTACAGAAGAGTACTTACTCATTATCCTAATCTGACGCCATGTGGTTGAAAAAAATCAACATATCTATCCTTATGGATAATTAATTGCTCCCTGCACCTGTGTGATCTGATCTTATAAACACTAAGTCAGAACCTTGTCGTGTTTTTGTTGGTCGCGGCCACACTTCCTGTCATGTCATTTCTTAAGTCTCATGGCGGTTTCCTTTTCTCTTCTTCAGAAACGGCCATCATTCAAGCAAATCATTTCAATCCTGGAGTCTATGTCAAATGACACGAACCTTCCTGACCAGTGTAACTCATTCTTGCACAACAAGGCGGAATGGAGGTGGGTAGCTCCAGCCTGAGTCCCAGCCCAAGGCTTCAGTGATGTGAACCAGATACCTGGTGGACAGCCCTGACTTCTAAGCATAGCTTGGGGCTGGGTGGAGGCTAAGATTTATAACCTTGCATTTATATGGAAGCAAGAGTTTCTCTGTATTTGTTAGCATGCATCTAGGTATTTGGGGAAGAGTATTGAATCATGTGTTCTGAAACAAAGGACATTTTCAGGTGCTTCTCTGTACAGTCTCTGTGTTCGGAAGCTTTAGCCTCTGTAGGGGGAAAAAAGATATTATAATCCTAGCAAAACAAATCAGTAAAGAGAGAATTGTATTGTGTAAGTGGAAAAAGTAAATCCCAGTTGAAACAGTTGGACCAGGTCGAATGACGCAGGGAATATAAATAGCCTGTTTGGGAGCTGGACTCTCTTCCTCCCTGACTCAGCAGAGATCTGAAGTAACTTCATCCCTGCTCCAAATAGTCATGGCAGTAACGCAATGCCCTATGCCATCTGCTGGTGCTAAGTCAGTACTGCGTGCACTTGGAGAGCCACTGGATCTTGACTCCCGTCGGACAGTACATGTAACCGTGGTTGATATTTTACAATAACCTTACTTATTCTCCGTCCTTTGAAATAACTATCTAATACCAGTCATGAATTCCTCTTGGCAATACGAAATTAATGCAGTGAGCTTCCATCTAGAGCTGAGGGCTTTTTTTTTTCTGGTCTAAAATAACAAAGCCCTGCTGTGTCATTGTTTCCTACAGTAACAGGTCCGTGCACGTGTAATCATATCACTCCTCTTCAAACTCCATATGTGGACTCCACTGTTTCTCAGACAAAGACAGACACATTTGCCATTCAGAAGAGCAACTATCTTGAGCATGCCCCGAGCTTCAGGCTTTTAGAGGCACGTTTCTCTCTTACCAGAACCTCTGCAATGCAGTCTCCTTTTTATAGACACTCTGTCTTGCACACTCCTCCTAGCCCCCCTCCCGCAGCTCCCATTAGCCATCCTGCTGACCCAGCTCATCTGCAAGGGAGCAACCCCACTCCCTGGCCAGGTCAGTGTCACAAGCTCTGAGATCACTGTGTCGACGTGTCTCACCACTGGAGCGTTAGGAAAGCAAACTGTTTTGTGTATCCCTGTCTCCATCTCTTCCAACAGCAATTGCTCAGTAAACATATGGGGAAGCAAGGAAAGAGGCAGGTAGACAGGCAGAGAGCATGAAGGCAGTGATGTAAACAACACTGTTCCTGTCCTGGGCGATAAATGTGTAGCCAATGCATTTACCCAGGCAGAGCACTTCTCGTCACAGTCTGAAAGCCTCCCCTGGTCCAGGAGAGGCTGATCCTCTCTAGGTACTGGGATGCAGTGGTCGGGGCAATGTCCTCAGATGTGTGGTACTCTCCAGCAGCAGCCTCAGAAGCACACATGTTAGAATGCTGAGCATGAAACACAGGCAACCATCGGCATTCTGCGCTGGCCAGCCATATGACAGAAGCAAGGGCTAATAGAGCATTTACAATGAAATCTGAACCTCCGATCTGAAGGGTTCCCGGAGGAAATGCTATTCGATCTGTTATCTGAAGGATTAGGGGGATTTTAAAACTGAGAGTACTGGTGTGTTTGAGATAGGGTTCTTTAAGTGTGCCAACAAAGAAAACAAAGCAAAGTCAGTAAATATTCTGAAAAAAATTGAAATTTCCTGTATCCCAAAACAATACCCATCCTAAATAAGTTTGCAAGAGAAATGATGTACGGTTATAACTTTCTTCCCTCATGTGGTAGGCTAGAGCGTCTCAACTGTTTGGTGTCCAGGACTCCAGTTCACTCTGTGTGTGTGTGTGTGTGTGTGTGTGTGTGTGTGTGTGTGTGTGTGTGTGTGTGTGTGTGCGCGTGGTGGGGGGTATGCATGTGTGTGTGCAGGTACAGGTGCACACACACGTGAACGGAAACAGAAGGAGGTGTAGAGCGACCTCCTCTATCATAGCCTTTCCTTGTTCCTTGAGCCAGGAGCTGGGCTGTGTGCAGCGAGTCCCAGGGACCCTCCTGCCTTGACCAGCACAGATAGCACTGAGGATGTGGACAAACACTGCCACGCCCAGCTTTGTATTGCTGTGCCAGGATTCCAACCCAGGTCCTCATGCTTATACAGCAAATACCCCCCAGACAGCTGTCTCTCCGGCATCTCTACTTATTACACTCTTTTTATTATTATTAGTTTTTATTTAAATTAAGACAATCTTATTTTACATACCAATCCCAGTTCCCTCTTCCTCCCATTCTCCCCACCAACCCCCCATCCCACCCCTACCTACTCCCCATGGCCTCCAATGGGGGATCATCAAAGTCTGTCACATCATTTGGGGCAGGACCTAGGCCCTCCCCCATGTATCTAGGCTGAGAGAGTATCCCTCCATAGGAAATGGGCCCAAAAGCCCATTTGTACACTAGGGGTAAATACTGGTTCCACTGCCAGAGGCCCCATAGATTGTCCAAGGCCCCCAACTGACACCCACTTTCAGGGAGCCTGGTCTTATGCTGGTTCCTTAGCTGTCAGACTGGGGTCCGTGAGCCCCCACTTGCTCAGGTCAGCTGTTTCTGTGGGTTTCCCCAGCATGGTCTTGACCCCTTTGTTCATTACTCCTCCTTCTCTACAACTGGTATTGGGGACTCCAAAAAACATGAGCTAATGAGGCATATATGATAATATTTATTACATTTAAAATAGAACTGAAAAATTATATTTATCAATTCATTTTTAAAAAACAGCAAATCCATGCTGCTGTAAAGATGGCTCAGTGGCCAAGAGTATTGGATGCTCTTTCAGAGGACCACAGTTAGTTCCCAGCACCCACACCAGGAGGCTCAGAACAGACTGTAACTCCAGCTCCAGGTGACCTGATGCCCTCCTTCACCTCTTTGGGCACCCACACACATGCATACACATGCAAACAGATACATGCATGCATATGTACATACATGCATGCATACATACATACATACAAAAATCTTTTAAAAACAATAATAAATTCTGATTCTGCCGTTTCAGCCCATGACCCATATGACATAAAACATCTAGAAAATGACACGTTCTTATGAGAGGCAGAAAAGGCCAGTTCTATTATAGTGCCATCTTGAAAACCAGTAAGGCCTTGAGAGTCCTCTGATGTGCTCTCCTGGATCTCCAGACGTGCTACAGTTACTACCTTTTTTCTTTTCTTTTTTTTTCAGTTTTGGTTTTTGAGACAGGGTTTCTCTGTGTAGCCCTGGCTGTCCTTGAACTCACTTTGTAGACCACCTTAGCCTCAAACTCAGAGATCTGCCTGCCTTTGCCTCCTGAATGCTGGGGTTAAAGGTGTGCGCCGCCACCGCCTGGCCAGTTACTACACTTAAAACAGCATTTTAATGACAACAGCATTCTAATGGATGTGAAAGGGCATTTCATAAGAAGACATTGACTGGTCCTATCATCAAGTCAAATGATGATGCTGATGGGGTTGTAGGAAAAGGAACCCTGATCTGCTGCTGGTGGATAGTAAACTTGTGTGGCCACTGTGGAAGTCAGTATAGAATTCCTCAAAAGGACAAAATGAGAGCTTGCACATGACCCATGCAGAACCTGAGTTTAAAATATACACACACACAAAGTGCATGTAGGGGTGTGTGTGTGTGTGTGTGTGTGTGTGTGTGTGTGTGTGTGTGTGTGTGTGTGTGTGTGTAAAACGCTGGCTCAGTAGCATGGTCTATAATCCCCCTGCTGGGAAACCAGAGACAGGCACATCCCTGGTACACTGGCCAGCCAGCCTAGGCAAATTTGTGAGTTTCAAGTTCAATGAGTGACCCTATCTCAAAAAAGTAAAGGGAGAGAGATTGAGGAAAATAGCTAACAGCATCCTCCTGCTTACACACATGCATACACATATATGCAAACCCACATACACACGCCCGTGCATGCTCACAAGAACAGATGGTAGACCACAACACCACATGCACATATACACAAAATAAAAGTATATGTGTATCTTTATATGTGTATATGTGTGGGTTACAGAACTAAGAAAACCGTTGGTGGCGGGAGGCGGAATTTTGAGGCAGGTGGGAAATAGAAAAGGCTATAGAATGCGTGTGATAAAGAGCGGAAGCGGGGCTTAGCTGGGGGTAGAGCGTGGAGGGGGCACCGGGGCAGCAGGGCGGGAAAGAGCAAAGAACAGCGATTCATACACGAAAATACCGTGGCGAAGCGCACTCTTTCGCGTGCTAACCTAACAAGTTAATTAAAAGGAGGTCAAGTGGCTGATAAGCATGTGCAAATATTCAGCTCCACTTAGCAAAGAAACAAATAAAAGGAGAATAACTCACTTATGAGATTTTCAAATTCTCACATTATGAACTTAAGTGGTGCTAATACACTTTCTCATGCATTTTTTTCCAGTGCCGTTAGATGCCCTAAAAATTTATAAATGCTTTTCCCGGGAAGTCCTACCACTATGACTTTACTGCAGAGCAAACCAATGGGAAAGTTCTGACAGAATGTATGGGTGCTTGTTCAGATGGCCCCGTTTAGAACGCCAAAGCTAGGAACAGAACTTAGTGTATAAAAGAATGGCCTTCAAAAACGGTGTCTACACACCCAGAATAATACAGCCCCACCCATGAGTTCTGATCAGGGGATCTGAAAAGTGAGCTTAAAATGGAGACTACAGTCTCATTTATTCAAAATTATAGAATTTTAAAAGTAAAACCAGTGCACATTAATGTGTCTGCACAGGCACGTTAAAAAACACATCCAAGAGACAGTGGGTCACTGGGTAATGGCAGTTTTCTGTTTGTCTTTTTTTTTTTTTTTTTTTTTGGTTTTTTTGAGACAGGGTTTCTCTGTATTGTTTTGGAGGCTGTCCTGGAACTTGCTCTGTAAACCAGGCTGGCCTCGAACTCACAGAGATCCACCTGCCCCTGCCTCCCAAGTACTGGGATTAAAGGCGTGCGCCACCAACGCCCGGCTTCTGTTTGTCTTTTATTTTAACTTCTGCATTAGGTCTGAATTAATTGAATGATAAATGTAATGTTTAAAATGCTTCCCGTGAAAGTTGGCTAGAGCAATACATGCCTAGAGACCTCCCTACTCAGACCCTCTTGAGTAGGAACACAAGTTCAAGTGTAGCCTGGGCAACGTAGCAGCACTCCATCTCAACGACAAACATAGAAGAACAAATCCCACACCTCCAAGGTGGGAAATTAAGAGAACTGGTAGTAAAACATGGGGGAGGGTACCCCGATCAGTAAGAGGCACCATTTCTCAGGGCCTTCCGGGAGCTGAAAGAGCGTGTGTGCCTCACCTGAGCCATCAAAACAGTTGAAGGCAGCAGAACTGTGGTAACTAACCTTGACAGTTGGTTAAAGCCACAGGGATGATGGCTGTAATATTGCTAAGCAGTTATTGTTTGTTAGGCTCCTCCAATGACCATTTAGAGTTATCTTTCATAATCCCCGTAGCAGCCCAGTCAGATCCCAGGATCTAACATCTACTGCTCGGGTAACCTGCCTGAACTTATACTGTACTGTGATGGAGCCAGAATGAGACCCAGGTGCTGTGACATTGGACTACGGCCACCAGCCATGCCAGCTGTCCATTAACATGCTCCTTTTGCCCGATTTCTTTTCATCTCAGAAGCAAATTGTAGGGTGTGATCATTTTAGGTTATCAATCAAGTCAGTGTGCCACGTGCCGAAAAGAAGGCTGTGGGGTTTCAGATCACCTGGAAGTCAAAGGGCATGACGTCTGTGCTGCTACGTACTTTGTCGGGGTCCAAAGACTTTCAGCAGATGGGAGTCACGGTGAAGTGTGAGTCCAGGCATGCTGGGGTACTTGCAAATGGTGGCCTCCTGCTCGAGCTTTCTCTCCATGCAGGTGGATGAAACACCGAATTTAGAATTAAATGATTCTGAAATCCTCTGTTAAACTAGCTTAGCTTACTAAACGCCACTTCAGCAGAAAGAGCGAGCAGCAGACTCAGTTCATCAAATCCTTGGCTGCCCCTCCCCTTGACAAAGGAGCAGAAGCTGTGTCCCAATGTTCCTGCTGTCATTTGCTGCCTCGTGTGATTGTACAACCTGTAGTAGGATACATGAATGAGCTAAAGGGTTGAAATGGAGCATTCAGGCTTTGACTGTTAGCAAAATACTTTATGGGTTGTTTTTCCATGGTGGCCAAAGCACTGTTGCCATGACATGCTTTTTGCAAAAAACAAAACAGAGATCAAAAATGTAATCTTTGTGATTCAAATATTAGAACACATACATGTTCATACCACAAGTTTAATACATTTCTACTTACCATGTAATATATAAGCCATAAGGCTATTCTTTCAGATTGACCTGTGATTTCTCAGTGAATCTGTCTAACGAGAGAAGAACAATTGCAGTTCATTGCCTGGAAAGGGAAAATTGATATTAGTTGAAATCAACCTTGTCTGGATTTGGTTTGAGAGAACCAGTTTTCACCAACTGAAGGTTAAGAGATGGAAGGTTATATATAATATATATAAATACACCATCAAATGTGTATGATGGGGAGTGACGCATCTGTTCAAGACAAAGGAAACCGCAAAGCGGGTGGTGTCTTTTCTGTCCTTGGTTTGGGTCACTCTCTCATGGCATTCAAGAGGGAGTGGTGCGGGAAGATGGGCTATCTTCCCATGGTATATGCTTCTGCCACCACTCTCGGCTTACTTAACTGTTAATCTGTTTTCTACAAGGGCTCAAAATCACAGTGGGCTCCCTAGTTGGAATTTGAGATGAGGCCTTGGATTTAATTACAATCAAAACAGACTGGGTTGGTCATTTATCCTGACTGGAAAGACCACGCTTCAGTGGGATCGGTCTCACTGGCAGGACAGTTAGGACAGACTCATCAAGTGTTACACAGGCATGTGGCCCCGGCCATCCCACCAATGAGGATGCTGACTTCTGCGACCTCCTTGCTACCCTCTGACCCTCAAAGTGGCTCATTCTTTTTTGCCATGGAATTTTGTCATGGAATTATGTTTTCCACACTGAGTTTTTCTCTCCAGTCCTCCATTTGAAAAGTTAAAACAAACTTTCTTGTGAATTGGCATAATATTTTTCTCAGAAATATTAAGGATAAGCTTGGATTTTACGACAAAGTCCTAATTCTAAAACAATTCTGCTTTCGTACTTTTTCTGGGAACTGCACTGTGATTTCAGTATGCCTTCGTGATTTGTCACATGACCTCAGTGAAAATGAGAAGCTGCATTGCAATTTTTGCATCCTGAGGGACTTTTCATACAGCTTTGGTTTGAATGCAGATTCACCTCCCGCTTTCCCCTTGAGTTGGGCAACTCAGTTTTCATCCATAAGGAGTCGAGTAGATGTCCGCTTACTCTGACTTTCCCTGGAAACACAGGGCAGGTTTTGCTTAGGTGCATTCATTCGCCGAGCTCTGGGGATCCATGTCTTCCCGCCACCTCAGGGTCTCACTGCAATGATGTAGTGTGGTGCAGAGTTGTCTGTTCAGGACACCAGAGGTGTCCTTTAGCCTCCCTGCCTACCTTCACAGGCTTCTCTGCCCTCACCCCAGCCTGCCCGCCCTTTCGACTCTCATTACATGGCGTGGCTTGTGTGCAAGCTCTTCAGAAACCCAAGGAGGAGAACTTCCAGTTCTCAGAGCATAAATTTAGACATTAACATTGTGACAGCCCTGAAGGAGGAAAAGTTTGTGCCCAGCCATCTTGCCAGTTTCAGTTTCTGCAAAGAACAGTTTCTGTTACTGGGCACAGTGTCCTAAGTGGCCTAGTCATGACCGAAAGAACTTCCTTTAAAATTATAGAGGCTAAAAGAAACTCAGAAATTTTCTGGACTCGATTATCTCATGCTTGCTAGATTTTAAAATGTGTTTGTGTGGGACTCCTGTGTGTGCAGATGTGTTTATCTTCTGTGAGACTCCTGTGTGTCCAGCTGTGTTTGTGTGGGACTCCTGTGTGTGCAGATGTGTTTATCTCCTGTGTGTGCAGATGTGTTTATCTTCTGTGGGACTCCTGTGTGTACAGATGTGTTTATCTCCTGTGTGTGCAGATGTGTTTATCTCCTGTGGGACTCCTGTGTGTGCAGATGTGTTTATCTTCTATGGGACTCCTGTGTGTGCAGATGTGTTTATCTCCTGTGTGTGCAGATGTGTTTATCTTCTGTGGGACTCCTGTGTGTGCAGATGTGTTTATCTCCTGTGTGTGCAGATGTGTTTATCTTCTGTGGGACTCCTGTGTGTGCAGATGTGCTTATCTTCTGTGGGACTCCTGTGTGTGCAGATGTGTTTGTGTGGGACTCCTGTGTGTACAGATGTGTTTATCTTCTCATCTCCGTGTGTTTCTTGTACCTTTTCTTTGGCTTCTTTTCTTGTTTGTTCTGTCCTATTCCAGTTTGTTTGGGTTTGTTTTATCTTACTTTATAATTATTCTTTGGATGCCTGTTTGTTTTCTAAGGAGAAAGGGTTTGGATTTGGATGGGCGGGAAGAATCTCAGAGTAGTTAAGGGAGAAGATACCATAATCAGAGAATATTGTGTTTCAAGACAGGGTTTCTCTCTTGTAGCACTGGCTGTCCTGGAACTAGCCCTGCTTCCAGAGTGCTGGGATTAAAGGTGTGAACCACCACTGCCCAGCTTGAGACATGTCTATTTTCAATAAAAGAAAAAAATAGAGAAAAAATTACCGGTGCTTGTTAAATAGTGGAAACAGCCAGACTTTGCCCCACCAGCAATTCATGCACTTTCTCTAAGGTAGAGTCGTAGCCATCTATCTGTGTTTTATTGTTTTCAACAAGCAGACCCAGGAATTCTCAGGGTGAAGCGCATTGTAGAACCCTGGTTTCTTATAACCACTGCCCCTGAAGTCAAAGAAATTGCCAGCCCAGTAGCTCGCTCTGCGTATTACACAGCCCGTGTGTTGTTTTCCAGCCACCCCATCCGATCCACAGATCACTAACTATTTATTGGGGCTGTTGTGGAAGTAGAATGAGAGGTACTTTGTGAACTCTAAAGCTTCTTAAACTACAAACAGGTACTAAATGGCTAGCCCACGATGCCAGCTCCCGACCTGTGCTACGTAGTTCCTGGTCACTCTTCAGTGCCTTGTTGAAATGCTCTGAGTTTGTTTCTCCCTAATAGAAACTGCCTGTTGATTCTGAAGGATAAGGAAGAGCTCTGCTTCTCGGGTTAGTGCCTGGCCAGTTTCAAAGCCCACACCTTGGCTTTTCATCTGGTTAGCGCTCCAATGAACCCACTGAGTATCCGCAGTATCACCAGAGTGGAGACTCACTGAGCTATCTCTCTGCAGGTGTGAAATTGAGGCAACCCTTGAGAGGCTGAAGAAACTAGAGCGAGACCTCAGCTTTAAAGAGCAGGAGCTCAAAGAACGGGAGAGACGCTTGAAGATGTGGGAGCAGAAGCTGACCGAGCAGTCCAACACCCCGGTGAGTACGCCACCTAGTGGTTTCCTGCAGCACTCCGACACCTGGCTGAGCATGGCAGTAGGGCTAATCTCCCCACCTACGGCTCTTCCCTGCCCCTGCTCCTGAGAATTAAAGGCCTGCATTGGTAGTAAGGAGTATAAAACATCAAAACGTCACATATTTATAGGAAAGAAAACTATTTAGGAGAAAAATCCCTCCTTCTGACTCTCCTTAAGAACTGCTGTTCTCTCGGTGCATTTGTATATTCAGGCTACTAGAAAAAAATCTAATGTGTTTTTGGACCATCTGTTGGGTCCTCAGAACACTGTTTGAATGCTGCTGTTCAGCATTGTACTTAGAGGCCATCAGTAATTAATGACTGCAACGGAAAGGCAGCCAAGAATATTTGGGTGTGTCAGAACTTAACCACATTTTCTTTCTAAGATTGAGCTGGCCCGCTAACAGTGATGACCAGCATTAATATGCCTTATTAATTTAGTGCTGTGATGATAAGCAGCATAAAATGGGGAAAGGGCTTCTCCTGGGACGGGAAGCTGGTTTGCTCTACCTCTAGGAAGACCAGAGGAGCCCTGGCTCTTTATCTTCTAACCTTGAGTTTTAGGTGTATGTTAAATGTTAGATCCTTTTACCATTCTTCTAGATTTTAAATAAGGGTTACTTTCAGGAGGCAAGTAAAGCTTAGGATTGGTTTATCTAGGATTTTCAGTGAGCAATATTTATCCACTTCAAATCACAAGAAATGAGAGATTAAAAATAGCTATTGACAAATAGATAAGAAGAAGGTTTTGTGTTCCTCAAAGATCTCTCCTAGTTAGACAAGTCCTAGCCTCCAATGAGAAGCCTGAGACAGATTGTAATGTCTTCCTATGTATAAAGAAGAGGAGAATCTGTCTCTACTTCCAATTCCTATGGGGAAGCAATCTGATGTCCGCTCACCCCCAAAAAGGCGAGTGCCTCTTAATGTTACAGATTTACCCTTTTCAAAAAATGCCTTTGGTAATCCCAGGAATGCCCAGGTAAGAAGTGAATTGTGTACATAGGACTGTGTACAAAGGGTACCTCACTTTTGTCAGTGAGTCCTGTGAACTTAACCAGACTCTCAAGGAAGGAAAGGGTAAAGGGGAGAGTTTCTTGTTCAGACTGAGTTGGTGCCAGCTGGATGCAGCGCCCAGGGCTGGTGAAAGAGCCCTGTTTATGGGGGGCAGGAGAGAGCATGCAGCCTTGTCCCTAGAGCCCGTGCGCTGGAGGCTGAGGGCTGTTTATGGGGGGCAGGAGAGAGCATGCAGCCTTGTCCCTAGAGCCCGTGCGCTGGAGGCTGAGGGCTGTTTTGTTTTGCTTTTTAAGAGCATTGAAACCTTAACTGTAAAGCACCGCGTGGCTTGACTCCCTCTAAATGCAGTATTGTCAGGAAAACTTTCACCCGTCTATTATAGAGTGCGCTTTAGAACCTTGCCTCAGCTTATTGGCATCAGTTTTGCTAAGAAATTATGGGCTGCCTTGCACATATTGTTGCTGCTGGTAACACAGTTGTGGATTAAAGAATAAAACCCTGTGGGTGCTTAGTAGGTTGTATCTTGCATTTTAACTCCAGAAAACTTAAAGCCAGTGCTTTGCGGGAGGGCCACCAGCTAACAATGTACAGCATGGCACAAAGTCTCCACGCAGTTTCCTCCCTTTTTACTCTTGAGGCCCAAGTTTTTCCTTTGTTTATAATTCTTGCTTTCAACGTCTAGAGCCCGTGTTTCTAAGGGAAAGGAGTTTGTGCTCAGGTATTTGAGGAGCAGCTGTTTCCTTTTATCCTCACTTCAGTCTCTAGTTGGCTTTAAACTTGACTGCTGGGAACAAGAGAAATCTTTTTAAAAGAAGCAAAACTGGCCTTTTTACAGGTAGCTTCACCTTAAATATAACAGTCTAACATTTGCACAACTGCATAAAAATACCATCAAATTGATTTCGAGGATACTATTTTCCTTCCTGAGATGCTGAAGATGTTGGAAAGATGAGTTCTCTGTGTATAAATATAAATAGGGATGATGCTTATTTCTAATTATTGTTGCAGCTTGCTGTAAAGAATTTAGAGATGAAGTCTTTTTTGAGAAGTATTTATGGAGCTCTCTAGAGGCTAACATAATGTGAGAAGAGACCTCAGCAATACTAAAATAAATAAACAACAAAGAGTTCCTTAGAGCTTCTATCAATCGAAAACCAACTTGAGAATACGAGAAGGGTGGTCATAGGCCCTGTCCCACGAGTAAGGACCTGAGGCTGGCTGAACCACATGACCTTGACACATAGCCCACAGGGCCAAAATTCTCTCCTAATAGAATGAGCTGGTTTTTGAAAACTGAGCTCCAACAATAACTTGAATTAGAAAACTGGGTGATCAAGATGGCTCTGTGACTAAACGTACTTGCCAATGCAAGCCTGATAACCCAAGTTCTTATATCCTGACAGTTTCACCATAAAATAAATAGAACCAGACATTATGGATTAGGTTGGCTGTTGAAAGCAATTACATAAGGAAAAAAATAAGCATCACCACTGTGACAACATGAGAAAGAACTCATAAACAGGAGTTCCGTTGAAAGGAGACTTGGGTACTAGCGGCTACAGCAAAGAGACAGTCTAAGTGAATCCTAGGCAGTGCTCCCCGCTCCCCTGTTCCCACATAGTCACGGTAACCGGCCCGAAGGTTAGAGACAGGATCCAGAAGTTAGTCCCAGGTGAGTTGTATATGAACGTGAATAAATTAAACAGTGTGGGGTCCAGCTGGAGTGGAGTAATGACGGAAGCAGGTAAAGTGGCCTCGGGGTGTGCTCAGGGTGCTGGCCTTGGGAGAGAGGTGGAGTCACGAGCTCCCCAGCTGGACGGGATGACACTCGGCCTGACTGCTCTGCCCTTCCTCTGAGCTCTACCTTGGGACAGGGCTTTCTGAATTTTTTAACTTGAGATTTTAAACTCTGTTTCATTTCTTCTTTTTTAATTAATACAGTGGTTAATCAGATGTTTCTATATGGAATTGAAATCTGGAAAAATTAAGGGGCATCCAAAACACTATTTTGTTTTAAGCAAAGCAAGGACCTAAAACTGGTCCCTACCTGTCCACTTGGAATTTGGCTCACTGTGGTGCTTTGCAAGCTTTCAGATATGATTTTCTCTGTCATTTATAAAGTATGGTCAATACCCTGGCACCAAATCTGGCATTCAGTACGCCCTCATCATTCACCTCTGGTGTAGTACCAACTGATGTTGTGGTGTCTGTCCCCTGATTTAAATTGGTACTAATTTCTCTTTTCACTTCTGTCCTTTCTCCCCCTCTGATAGCTTCTCTTGCCTCTTGCTGCAAGAATGTCTGAGGAGTCTTACTTTGAATCTAAGACAGAGGAGTCAAACAGTGCAGAGGTGTCATGCCAGATCACAGCAACAAGTAACGGGGAGGGCCATGGCATGAACCCAAGTCTGCAGGCCATGATGCTCCTGGGCTTTGGGGATGTCTTCTCAATGAACAAAGCAGGAGCTGTGCTGCATTCTGGGATGCAGATAAACATGCAAGCCAAGCAGAATTCATCCAAAACCACATCAAAGAGGAGGGGGAAGAAGGTCAACATGGCCCTGGGGTTCAGTGATTTTGACTTGTCAGGTGATGATGATGATGATGATGATGATGGCGAGGAGGAAGAGAACGATGTGGATAATAATAGTGAATGACGGCAGAAAGTAATAAAGCTGAAATGTTTTTTTAATGTAAGAAATGTATTATCTCAGTCTGTGCAAACAGCAGCATAGGGAGGCGAGCACTGAGTACTGCACCTTAGGCCATGCTCACCGAGGGCGATTTCCTCATCAGTGTGACTTTACTTTTGCATTCAGAAAAGTGAGGCACGGGAATTAAGCTAAAGGTATATTTATTAGCGAGTGTGGTGCCTGGTTATAGAAACGTGTGATTATATACATACCATGTCCTTAAACAAATGACATTTGGGCCTTTCTGCTTTAAAGTACATACTTGGTAGTTTGTATTTGACTATTGTATTCCCTTCACTCACTCAGTTGGGAAAATGTCCATTTGGAACAAGTTCTACTCCTGACTCCACTAAGGTTCTTCCTTGTCCAGTACATCATAATGGTGGAGGTGATGGACGACTATAACATACAGCCACATTTAAAAGCGGGGGGGCTGAGATGAAATGAGGTTATTTTTTTAAAAATGCTTCTTCAGAAATAACTAGACACCAGGAATTTACAAACCAAATAGCACACAGCTCCTCAAAGTAAAACCTTAGTGGTGTTCTCTAGTGACATTTGAAGGGGAAATCCTCTGGGTTTGAAGTGAGCAGCAGACATCACTAGCTTGCATCCCCCATGCTGGCTGGAAGCATCCTAACATGAACACACTGTCACCGTAAGCTTAGCTTGTGCTTTATACAGAATTTGGATGTGTCTAGGCATGAGCAGGCTGAGCACACACCTGCTCTGTCCATCCAATAAAATCACTCTGTTTCTGTTTCCCAGAGGTGCATATAATAATATTAGATTGTAATCTATGTGTAGGAAAAATAAACACTATAAATAGGGAAGACAGGTTATCCCTCTTAGACACAAGTATGTTCTGATCAGGTCTTTCTGTTAAATGTCGCTATACAGTGCTGCCCCCCCCCTTTCTTTTCACTGAGCTCTGTGATGCTGGTTTGAGAAATAGATTCAGGTTGCTACTTACTATGAAGGCCAGGCTACCCAGAGACACTCTCAGAGACTAGCTTCTCTATCAAAACTTACTTAAGCTATAAATACAACTAGATAAATACAATACAAAACTCTTTATCAGTCTAATGGGACATAGTGTCATTCATTTGACAATGAAAACGAAATAGTTTTCTGTGGTCCTTTTTGTTCAGAAGCTGACATCAGGTGTGTGTGGTGGCTAGTGTCCATAATCCTGGTACTTGGAAGCTGAGGCAGAAGGATGGTGAGGTTAGCAACAGCCTGATGGAGCTACAAAGCAAGACTCTGTCCCAAGAAAGGATTAGATGCCATCCACTGCTGTTTCTAAGTATGTTTGGTTATGAAGTCTTTGGGAGTCTGAGATGGGGTGTGCTTCTAACCCTCAGTGAGAATTGAAATGTCCCACCAAAAATGAAAGCTCACTGCAGCTTTATTGGGGAGAGATAACTAGTGCAAGGTTCTGACTGTCTGTGGCTGTGCAGTCCTGGGTAGACTATTTAATCTCAGAGCCTATATGCTCTTCATTATCATGATGCGAATGCTAATCTACTTCAAAGAAAAAGAATCAGAAGAAAGTGTCTGACCATGTAGCATAGCACCAGGCCATGGCAGGTGCCACTTAACACCACCTACAGCTAATTGTCAAGTAAAAGAGACAAGAGAAATAAGTGGGTTCAGTAACCTCTGCTTACTCAGAAGTATGAAGCTAAGAGTAGATAGCCATCAGGAAATATAAAGAGAGCAATTTTTAGGATGTAAAAATGTGCAAACAGATTTAATTCAGTTGCCCTTGGAACCTGTGTGCCATGACCAGGTCTACCTGTGCTGGGTGTTTACAGACTGGTACAGTCTGCCTGAGAAGGTGACTTCCCCTTGTGCCTGTCCTGTTGTAATCTTCTGCACATATATATTCTAGATATGTAGCCATGCCACTCAAGCAGAACATCTTGGAGGGGGCAAAAGTTGATGCCTAGCAACCCCTGATTTCCCAGCATGCTGTGAGTACCTGAAGGAGACAATGGCAAGTACAGGCTCTTAAAGCCTCTTGCACATCTATATGTCCAGGCACAAGTTAAAGTCAACAAGTGTTCACTGGGGCCCTGTTCTACCGAGTTCTCGAGAATAGATGACAGCGTCTGCACGCAGTGAAGCGTGCGTGCTAGTGAGCAGTCAGGATAGCGTGTGTCATAGAACGTTATGATTTTAAGTGCATGCTGGAGATCGGAGGGAGGAAGAGGAGGCTGGTGTGAGAGGTCGTCAGAGTGTGGTCAGAAAAGGCCCGGCTGATGGGTAACATCGTACAGAGCTGAGGGAAGTGGAGGGAGCTCTGTGAGAGGCGACTTCTGCCCTCGATGGAAGAGCATACGCCTCACCCCCCCCCCCAATCAGGAGATGGTTTAGAACATATAAATGGCAAGGAAATCATGGGGGGGTTCCTAAATTAATACCTAAATTCATATTCTATATAAAATTTTAATGCATTAAAAACCAGCCAGATAGTGCCACTAGGGAAAAGTTACTGGATTCTATACCCAGACCTAGGTTTACCATTACCAAGTGTATTTCTCCCATCTCTTAACTGCTGCCTTTTTCTCCATCAATGTTGGAGCCATACTCATAGCTCAGTACTCAGTCATGGAGAAACCACAGGACTTGGGATAGAGCCTCGGTGGAGAGCTTCTAAACGCTCTGTCTGGGACTACATAATACACCATTGGCTAGTTTATTTCTGCTCCAAATTAGTCTACAGCTAGTTGCTTAGAAATGTTCAAACATGCTGGGCGTGGTAGGGCATACCTTTAATCCCAGCACTCAGGAGACAGAGGTAGGAGGATCTCTGAGTTCAAGACCAACCAGGCCAGCCAGGGCTGTTACACAGAGAAACTGTCTGGGGGGAAGAAATGCTCAAACGTACCTGAAATCTGACTCATATAAACAGGATCCTATGGAGTTCTCACACCATCTATAAGGATCACTAGAAAGCTTTAGATTCAGTTAATTTTATTTTTTTTAAATCTATTAGCAGAATTTCTAATGATGCTAATATAGAACTAACTCACTTATTAGGTCAGATTTTGAACAATGACAAATTATCAGTGTTAGATTTTATTTCAATGACATGACTTACAAAGGAACACAATTCAGAATTTAAAGAAGTCCCCAGAAATGTAAAGGTTCAGATGGAGAGTTAGAACTCTGGATTATGGTGATAATTGTTAACCAGATGGCAGGCTGCCTCGCCTTTACCTTTCCCTGAGCATGGAGAATTTGAGGACACCAACTGTAGGTCTCAGCTGATAGGAATTGCCACCTTGACTAGCCAGCTTACTGCCTAGCCTGATGGCATCCTGCTTGCCAGGAACAGTCCTGTCTTGCAAAATCCCCACAGCGTTGCCCTGTCCCCACTGTGGTTTGTTAAGTCTTTACACTTCTGCTATCCAGATCTAGTTTTCCCCCAAACAAAATTACCCGAGCCTTTTCAGAGCGATAATGACACCTCCTGCATTTTAGGAAGTTGTAGCTTTTTCTCAGAACCCTGTTTGTGGAAATGATTTCTCCCCCCACCCCATGGTTGCGGGTAGGAACCCTATGAAAAACTGCGTCCCTGGGGGAGGGGCACTGACCCGTTAAGGTGACTCCACAATAGGACAGCCCTGGTGGAGAGGCCATCATTCTGCAGTCATTTCAAGGAAATTTTTTTCTAATCTTTTTTTTCTTAAGTAAAATCACATTTTTATTGTTTCACAAATCGCCAATGGGATAAGGTTGAAAGCACACGGCACACTTCTTTTGATGCCCTGACAATACTGAGGACTGCTTTGGGTTTGTTTTTTGTTGTTAGTGTTTTTTTGTTGTTTTTTTTTTTTTAACCAGTAACTTTTAAAAAAGAAGCAGTGAATTTGTTAGTCTTTAACACCAGCTGAGGTATTCACACTTGATCCCATTAAAATCAAAGGGGGTGTTCAGAAGAGACCCAGAGCCGTTTTCCTTCAAGTTACTGTGTGTGTGTGTGTGTGTGTGTATACATGTATATATAAAACTCCAGTTTTCATTAGAATGCTAAGCATTTTATGAAAGATAGTTTTCAAACCTAGTGAGTTACATATTGATACTTTAAAAACTATTTCAAAAGTATTGGGCAGCCTTGTGAAACCAGTCAAGTCCCACCACGCCACAGACACACAGTAGAGCATAAATCTTTCTATAATCAGGCACCGTCTGCTGCTTTCAAGAAAGACCATTTTCCTGTGTAGACTATAAGCACTGTCGCAGAGGCTCCATCCTGCTGCACATAGCATAGCCTGACAGACAGCTCTGGGTACAGCATTCTGTGATTAAAAAGTGAATGTCTGTCAGGAAATCGGGACAGGCCATGTCTCCTCAGACCCCAACCTTGTGGGCACTCTGTTGCTTGTGTGAGAAACTTTCTGGCATGTGGTTAGTTATTTCAAACTGGAGTTCAGGCACTGATGCAACTGTTTTATAGCGTGTGCGAAATACTCTTAGTTCCAACACGACACACTGCTTTTGCACTCTAAAAATATTAGAAATATTTCTATCCTTTGAGTGTGGGCTTTTAATAAGGGGCATCATCACTGTGTTTTCATAATAGTCTTCTCTCCTTCACTCTATTGCAATGTTATCCTGAGCAAGTCTATGCCAAATGCCATGTATAATGTTTGTATGGAAGATTAAACTGCGCTCCTGTGTGGTAAGACTGTTTAGTTGCCGACTTCATAGTTGGAGTTTGATATTCCAGCACGGAGTCCACGATGTATTCAGAAATCCAAGCTGGTGTCATACATTTCATTCTGATGTGAACTTTTCTCTGCTTCCCTTTGTTCTAAGACTCCATTTTGCAATAAACGTTTTGACAGTAAACCCCTTTGTTACGTGTCGCTGTGTACATAAGATCTTTGTTAGACTGGATTCCTAACATCCTTTGAAGAAATCAGTGTCACACACATGCACATGAGTGGTAGCTCTTCTCTCCTGAAGTCTGTTGGAGTATAAATAATGAATTACTAAAGTGATGGGGCAGTCATGAGGGAATTTTTTATCCCCAAAGAAAACAGAAAGGCTTAGAACTAACTCGTCTACAGCAGATGCACTGATATGTTAACAAGGTACAGAAACCGTGAAGGCGATGGTGAGCCTCTGTGTGGCTGGAGATCATTAACTCTTAGCCCCTGTCTTGCCAAATCCAAACCGCCTTGCAGCAGCGCCTGGTCCCAGCCTCCTCTCACTGATCTTTGCAGGCGTCTGCAGACTCCTGCTGGAGGGAGCATCCAGCAGAGCTCGGGTCTTCCCTGTGGCATCACACTGATGAGCCGGACACAGTTGCAGCAGGAACTCTGTGTCCTTCCCACAGTAAAACTGAAGATGTTGCTTATCTCATTGATAATCTCTATTCAAGAAATGCGCATTCCTCAGTTTTGTTAGCACGTGTGGAAAGCATATAAAAGTCAAAACACACACACACACACACAACATCACATCCACACACGCACTGACATCCTGTAGAGACAAGCCTCGATGCAGGGCAGTACTTCTATATGGTATCTCGATGTCTCTCTGCATCCGTGGTGGACAAAAGGGGTGGCATGTTCCCGCAGCTGTATACAGCTGCCCGGCGAAGAAGTAAAGCTTGCCATGTATTTTCTTTGATTGAGATCAACTTCGGATGAGCTTCCTTGAGTCCCTCGTTCACACTATTAAAGTGAGCATGCTGGGTGACTCCTTCATAGCGCGTGTGTGGAGGGTATGTGGAGAATATTACTGACTCGAGCCCATGCTGTATGTCCTCGCAATCTAGATGTAGTACTCAGAGTCTGCACATTCATGTTTAAAATAATAAAACCTGCTCTGCTGCACCCAGAATTGGCTTCTTCTCTTTTTCCTCCAATGCAATTTCACTGCATCCTGTGCTCCAATTAAGTGAGCATGTCACACCCGCTCCATTCCTGTGGCCAGTATCTTACCTGGTTCTTCCTCGTCTTCTCTTTCCCCCGGGGCCTGCCATCCCCAGCTCAAGCCACTTGCCTTCCGTTCCCCTGTCACCGTCATCTGTGGCATATCGGTCTTTGTATGCATGCCTGTCAACACTGAGCAGACTGCCAAATAATTTGGCAACTGAATACATGCATCCTTCATTCTATAATTTTACTCATTCTATAAGATAGTACGATAAAAATTATGCAAGTGGAGCTAGAGAGAGAACTTGGTTGGTAAAATGCTTGCTTTGCATATATGAGGACCTGAGTTCAAGTCCCAGGATATACATAAAAAGCTAGCTGTTGTGGCATGTCCCAGTGCCAGGGGCAGAGAGGCAGATAGGTCTCTGGTGCTCACTGGTCAGTCATCCCAGCCTGATTGATGAGCTCTAAGTCAGTGAGTAGTACTTGAGGAATGACACCCCAGGTTGTCCTTTGGCCCTCATACATGCTTGTACCCACACACATACAAACACTCATGTGTACAGGCCAGTGTACCAAGTTCTATGCATTAGTAACAAAACATGATAAAAATGGGCCTCCCACAAATATAATCCACAGATGTTTCATACATGTATGCAGAGTATTTAGATTATACCCACCCCCATCAAAATCTCTTTCCCCAGTTTGCTCAGACACACAGACTGTCTGTAACAGAGACTGGGTGATACTTTGGCACATTCTTTCATGAATAAACATCCTGACAGTCAAGCTGGTTGAAGCTATTGGCTATATCACACGGTAGCCCATAGGACAGGGGCCTTTTCAAGTTCTGAAAGTATGTGCGATTCAGTCCATAGCCGTGGGATACACTGGTGTGTAAAGTTCTCTGGCACAGGCTGAAGGGCTCTCAAGCCCCCATTCCACGTGTGTCTGTGTTAGAGCAGCTCTGAGCCCAGATACCTTAGGACAGTTCCAGCCTCCCACATCCTGCATCATCCATGCGAGGGGGATGTCTAAGCACCCAGGAACAGGCAAAATAAGTCACCTGGCTACTTACGGTTGTTTTGGAATTTCCGATGGTAAATTATCCGATTATCCTACTGCTGGCTGAGAATTCTTAGGCTGCTCTGGTAGCTGTTGAATGTCAGAAAGGCCGTGATTCCAAGGCCCTGCTGTGGGATGTACAACCAGTCCTGCCTGCCAAGCCCCAGACCAAAGAAGACCAAGTCCCCCTTAGAACAACTTGTAAGGTAGAATGGATCTTTGTCAGGAATCGATTTACAAGTTGCCTGCCGGGCTCAGCATCCTTGGACACTGAGAGCCTCCTCTGAAGGTTGAGGAAACTGTCTTCCTCTCAACCTAACCCTCCAGAGGAAGCCAGAGCAGCAGGAGACGAGAAGACAGACCAAAAAGACTAGGATAATATTGCTTCCCTTTTTCATTTCCTTCGTATCTCCCACGCAGCTGCTGCCTTCCTTTGAGATCAGTGCATGGACTGAAGACGATGTGGTAAGCTGCTTCTTAATGCCTCATGGATCTGGACAGGAAGGCGGCACGTTTGTCCACAAGTTTGGAGATGCAGCTGGAGAGAGCTGGGTCTAGCTAGCATAAAAATAAGGACTAATAGCAACAGAAACTAGCTCTTCAAATCTTATGATGGTTTCATCTTCCTAACTGGCTGTGAAAATACTCCAGAATATAGTAATACCAATGGCAAGATAAAAGCTATGCTATAGTATATAATTTATATATACATATACTCCATATACATATATATATATACTTATAGGATATACATACATATAAGTACTCCAGAATATAGTAATACCAATGGCAAGATAAAAGTTATACTATATTATATAATGTATATATACATATACTCCATATACATATACATACCTATAGGATATATACATATATATGTATTTATTGGTATTACTATATTCTGGAATATATATATATACCAATAGCAGGATAAAAGCTATGATTCAGAATGCCAAATACACATATTTGGAAAAAATTCAATTCTTAAACTTCCCTACAATGCCAGCAGTAGACTTGAGCATGGAGGAGAGAGACCATGATGGGCTGGGGTTCCCCTCCCCTGAGGCCCACTCATTAACTGACAAGGCGCCTAACTGCCTTCCTCACTCTGGCCTTCCCCAGGAGGAATGGACAGAGTGCGCCCCATAATCTTACATCCCAGGAGGCAGGATACTTAAGTCTGCAGGAAGGCTACATGCATCTCTGGACAGACTCCCTGAGGAGCAATCCCAGGTAGCCAGTTCTCTCCGTATCTGCTTCCTTAATGGCAAAACAATTTTGAGAACTGCTGATGAGAGACTTCAGGGACCGGTGCCTGTCCAGGTCCATTTTACGAGCTCAAGGGCATCATTAAATACAGAAGAAAATAAAGATGAAATGCTAGCTAGCCCTAGCAAGGATGTTCTCCACCCTAGGGAGACAGACACCCCAAGGCGTCTCAAGGAAAAGAGTCATGATTAGAAATTCCAGGAGACCTGTTCTAGACCTCAGCCTGGTGTGGGGCTTGGAGTGTGCCTCCTCTGTCCTTTGTTTTAGTTATGAAGTGAGCTTCCTTCTGCTTTAGGCAGCTGCATAAGTCCCCACAAAGCAAAGAAGCCATCTTCCTGTTTTCCCCCTTCCCTGAACACTAGAAGCCGAGCCTCTTGCCAGCCCCAACCCTGTGTAATTGCTTCCTCCCCAGCTACAAGGGTGGTCCATCTCCTTTGAAAGGAAAGTGATTTGAAAGAGCTGGATTCTAGGAGCTATTTTTAGTCTTTGCTGCAAGGTTAAGTGGCTCCCATGCCATTCAGCTAAAAGTCCATTGTCAAGGGACCCAGAGAACCAGAGTGAGTGAGTCTGGCCTCTTCTCTGTGTGTCTTCACCAAGGTAATGTTAGGTCACTGGTAAACAGGTGTCAAGTGATATACAAGGACAAGGGGCCCCTAGGTGTAACCACCTCATTCAACCCAGAAAGTACCATCTTTTGCATGGCCCCCAAATGGCTGCCATGGCTGAACAAGCTAATGAGAATCCTCATCCTGTCCATCTCTCTGTCCACTGCTGGGTGGTCTTGTTACTCATATAGTTCCTGAAATAAGTATGGTGCTGCTCTACCCGCACGTGTAGTGGAAAAGTCACAAAGGAGCTCCTGTAGGAAAGGCGTAAGCTCTCGTCCAAGGAAGTCTCTCAATGTCCACTATGGAAAGAATATCTCCAATTTGAGAGCTTGAGGCTTTAAACTCCAAAGAGAACTCTTTCATCTTCCCCTTGTGGCTAAGCTAGAGACATCTGACTCTATTAGAAAACTGTGTTCTTGTTGAGAATGGCTACTGCCCGTGTGTGACCCTCCCAAAACATGTGTGTCCTCTCTTCGCAGTACTTTTGGGTTCAGCAGCTCGTCAGAAAAGGCAAGTGAAATAAATCACCTTCGTGTTTACATAGTTAACTTTGTTGGGCTATGATTTATCCTCATTTCCTGCCTTCTGCACTTCTCTCCCAGGTGACTCCTCAGTAGAGATGACTGGGTATGCAAGCTTGTTTAAGGAAAACAACATCACAGGCAAGCGGTTGCTGCTTTTGGATGAGGAAGACTTGAAAGACATGGGCATTGTCTCCAAGGGACACATCATCCATTTTAAGGTACCCAGTGGGAGAGCATCAATAAATCAACTGAGCATGTGTGGTATGGTGGGCCGAGTGTGGGCAAATAGAGATGAAAGCATCACCGTGTAGGACATTCGGTGCTGAACTCCAGGCTTGTCCCTAACTAGTTGCCACACCTGTGCCTCCCTGTTACCACCTCAAAAATCCCATGGCGGTTGCCCGGATACAATGCTGTAATGCCTCTGTACTGCCAGGAAGCCTCTAGTCTAAGGGGGAAACGGCGTATACTATCCTGTGCAATGACACCTGTGAAAGATGCCACAGAGGAGACCGGGCTGGGCTGAGGGTGGGCTTCTGGAAGGAACATTAGGCACATGAAGGCCTTGCACTGGAGTTGTGTCAGGGAGCAACACTCCCAGGGGAAAGGCCTGAGGGCAGGAGGAAGCTCAGTGGGCCTGAGGACTGCGACTAAGGTAGGGTCATACCCAGAGAGTAGCTACCACACTCAGGACTAGCTGGCGGCCACTTAGCCCGCTTAAAGCTGGAGGGGCCAGACACTGATGAGAAATCCTGAAGGAGCCTGGAACTTGTGCACAGCCCAAGGGAACTCAAAGCTACTGCCACCATCTAAGTCACAGGAGGATGTGTGACTTGTGCAATCTGTCATGCCACAGGCGAAATGCGTGCCTCTGAAGCTTGATAACACCAGAAATCCTAACACCCCCCCCCAAACATTAGTCATGAAAAGTTTCAGACTAACCCTGGTTCCGTTGTTGCTGCCAGATCTGGGCTGGGGCTGGTGGTATGTCACTGAGGTAGTAGTACACACGAGTTCTGCACCAAGCACTGAATTTTTTTAATTAATTAATGAAACAGCCACCCAGGAACTGGAGCTGTTTGGCTTTTTAGATAGCTATTTAAACATAGTAACAAGTGCAGACATCTGTGGGATGATGTTGTTACTAGAGATTGGTGTCAAGAGACCTTTCAGAGGGCGAGATCAATGGTGTGTCTGCACTCCTGGCCGGACAACTGCAAATTCAAGGCCAGCCTGAGCTATATCATAAAATTGTTACCTGCTTCTCTTGCAAAACCAAATAGAGTGGGTGGATGGAGGAATTTATACAGACTGGGGGGAGGGGTAAATGATCTCAGGAACACAGCTTCTCACCCGAATCCACACCTCCACAAAGGTTCTGCCCACACACCCCCTTTACTCAGAGTACCTCAAAGAGTACCTCATTGTTTGCGCTGTTCCAGAGAGCCCAGACCCATATAAGAACCACATCTGCAGGGTCTCAGTGACCTTGGGACAAAGGCTGGGCACTCACCCACCAGAGAGCATCTGCAAGACAAAGCAGGACTGAGATGTCCTCCCCTACAAGGTTTTCCTCACCACAGAGGTGTCTGCGCTCCAAAAGGGACATTTTGTAACTCTTGTCCTGTGTAGCAGATTCCAGGACACTCCCACCTGCCCTACCCTCTTCTGTCTTCACAAGAGTTCCTCAAGGGTCAGCTAGAGGGGAGGGGAGTTACAAATTGTGGTACTTTACCGAACTAGAAGTGGTTTAAAAATTCCCAGACACAGCTAGGACTACAGAAGTGTCCCTTCTATGCTGGTTGGTGTCGTTAGACAAGTAATGTCCCAGCTTCCTATTTATGGTTCATCAAATTCAGTACCTGTCTGCTTGGAAGACTGGAGCCTAAAGAAATTTACACCCCGGACAAGAGATACAACACATGTGTACAGCTTCTTACGAGCAGTTGGAGGAAAAGGACAGTCCATTACCTTGACCAGTGGAGAGAGACAGAGAGGAGAGACTTCATGATAGAGGATGGGGGAAGGTGGGGCTTTGAGCTGGATCTGGGGGGAGGACAGAACAGAGGATGCCATAGCGATGGGGAATGATGGATAAAAAAGAATTAAAGGGTGCGGGGCGGTGGTGGCGCACGCCTTTAATCCCAGCACTCGGGAGGCAGAGGCAGGCGGATCTCTGTGAGTTCGAGGCCAGGCTGGACTGACAGCCTCCAAAACAATACAGAGAAACCCTGTCTCGTAAAAACCAAAAAAAGAAAGAAAGAAAGAAAGAATTAAAGGAGCCATTGCCTCTGTTCAGAGGAGCAGTGGGTGACTTGCTGGTCTGGTGGAAGCAGAAGACTGGGAAGAAAGCCCAGCCCCTGAGCCACTCCAACTTCAGGCTGGATGTGACCAGGGCTGGACAGCGCTGAGAACTGACACATTTAAAGTTGACTTCGGGAGGCTTTACAGTGGATTGAGGAGGAGAGGCTGGGTTTGAAACTCCAGATAGGAGGTTAAAACAGCAAGAAATAAGGCCTGTCTGACTCCTTGGCAGAAGTGGGCATGGGGAGCAGAGGAGGCCAGCTGAGCTGCTGATGAAGGAGCACATAGTGGGATTTAGACCTGTACTGCAGCATGAGTGAGCCTGGAAATGATGTTCATGGGAAAAGCCAGGCGCAGAGGGCTACGCCGGTATTCCGTGTATACAACCTATCCAGAATAACAAAGTACAGAGATGGAATATTCTAACGGTATTTCTCTGGATCAGCTCCTGAATGATGACACACAGACTTTTTTTTTTTTTTTTGGTTTTTTTTGAGACAGGGTTTCTCTGTATTGTTTTGGAGGTTGTCCTGGAACTCGCTCTGTAGACCAGGCTGGCCTCGAACTCACAGAGATCCGCCTGCCTCTGCCTCCCGAGTGCTGGGATTAAAGGCGTGCGCCACCAACGCCCGGCCCAGACTTTTTGTTAATTATGAAAGCTTGCCCTTAGCTAGGCTTGTTCCCAACTAGCTCTTAACACTTAAATTGGCCCACTTATATTAATCTACATTTTA